TTTGTTGAAAATCAAACACCTAAACTGTGTAATTGACAGTTCAGACTCTCTTAAAACTTTGACAGTCTTTACTAATGTGTGCACTGTGTTTCCATAGTAACTCCTGAACATTCTGCCATAGAGATACATGTAGAACCGCAAAATATCAATACACTGGCTATAGTAATTTGTGCAACTCCAAAACAGTGCTTAAAATACTGTTTGTTTTCCAATACATCTCTCATTTTTAGTGCCAGGCTTGACCACAAAGGACCTTTCTGTGTGAATCAAGTGTGTATGTTATTTTCTGGACTGGTTTCATCCTGATGTTTCCTCTTATTTACCTCTTCTAAAACAGGCAAATGTTACTAGGCGTATACTCTGGCTAAGTACTACTGACAAAAATCCTGGCTGAGTATCTGGAGAAGGCACTGCACTCACTGTGGTCACCCTCTGCTTCTGACAGATTTAGAGTATTTCTTATGGTGACAGTAAAGTAAACTGGATCATAACCTTAATACAAATGTTAGCTTGTTGCCGTGTCCCGTGGTGTCCCTGATCTGTCCATGCGTGAGCTGGACTTGTACTAAACCAGGTGAGGCTTGAAGGGCTCTCACTCAACCATCATGTAAAGCTCCGTAGCTCCTGTCTGTGCACAGGTGTGGGGCTGGCAGGTGCAGCGCCTGTCAGGGAGATGCCAAACACACGGAGAAGTATTTCCACAGCGGCATATGGAGAGGTTTAAGTGCTTCCCTTTTTGATTTGAACATGATTTACACAGGCTGGATCAGCTCCATTCTGTTATGTTTTGGCTATGAAAAGTCAGAGAATGTTTTGCAAATGTTTGTGGTTCAGTGGGTCTAATCAGGTCTGTTAATTACTGCAAAAAACAAAAAATAAATAAATTGTGATTGCTGCGATGTAGGTCTATTACAGCCATCAAAATGATGGGCCACCAGACAAGAGGAAAATAACATAAACAAATAGCATTTTTATCCCCTGAGTTATATTAAATTAGCAGTAGTTACCATGGAGATGTTGATGCATGTTTCATAATATGACATTAAACTTATCTATCTTTATCTTTTCAGTTCCAGGTGTTTTAGTGCTCAAAAATATCTGTATAAACATGCATTCCTTCTGTGGGTAGGGTCTTGCTTCTCCACAGATGTGGCATGTAACTTGGCTCTCTAACTTTACCTGCTTCTCTCTATGGAGTTAGATAAGTATAATGCCATACTGTGGAACATTCTGCAAAGCAATAGCATCATGGAGACAAGATTAGCCCTCCACCAGAAAAATAGCACAACGCAAAGGGTCGGCCACCTGCTTGTCTCCATGGAGATGGTATTTTTTGTATCTGAAATGTCCTGATATGGCATTAAACATATCCATATCCATGCATTTACTCAATAACATGGGTTTTTATTGAACTAAAAATGCGCATTCTTACTGTGAGTGGGTACACCTGTCCGCAGATCTGACACGTAATTTGACTCTGTAACTGTACCTACTTCTGTCTGTGGAGTTAGATAAGTATAATGTCATACTATGGATTCTGCAAAGCAATAGCATCATGGAGACAAACTTAGCCCAACACCAGAAAAATGACACAATGCTTTAAAGGTGCGCAGTGTAACTTTTCTGGTGGAGTCTGCCACTTGCTTATTTGTGTCTGAAATGTCCCAATATGGCATTAAACATTTTTATTTAGCTAAAAATTTGCATTCTTACTTTGAGTAGGCTCACCTATCCACAGATCTTGCATGTAACTTGGTCCTGTGGTGTCAACTACTGTTTCCGTAGAGATAAATAAGTGTAACGCCATACTGTGGAATATTCCAGGTCATATTATCATGGAGAGAATTACAGTAGACCTTTAAATGTGTATGAAAAACACTGCCAAGACATTTGACTGAGCATAATTATATTGTAGTAATGATATTGTGCTACAATCTATTTAGAGTCAACTATATCACGTTTCAACCCAAGTCATTTTAGTATTGACGTTGCAGATTACGTCTTCGTGCATATGACCACCCTAGCCATATTCCCCTGTGAGCTCTGAGATAATGATTGCTTGCTGCCCATGGATGTTTGATCACGCTCCTACCGCTCTGAGAAACTTTTCGAAATCCATTTCTTCTTCTCTGAAAACACAAACCCCAGGACAGCGTTTAAACAAACTCAAATCCTCAGGACGTCTGTAAAAACATGGATAGTGTGCTGGGCAGATTAACTCTTAAGAAAGGGCATCCAGGATTTTGTGTCATTTCTTTTTGCCCACCTCTCAATTTGCCAAGAACATTTTCCCCATTTACGAAAAATACGTTTATGGAAATATTTTGTGTTGCTAGCGCCGACAGCTCCTCTTGCTGATTGTTGTTATGACGACTGGACTTGTCAAAAGGCTCTCACACAGATTGTTGTTGGCCATTTGAATACATGCATAAGCCAAACGTAATCAGTGTAGTGTGTCTGGTGGAAGTGTTGAGAACCACTGATATTGTGTCTGGAAACAGGATTATTATAAATGGGCAAATATTGAAACTGGACTAAGACTGAACTAACTATTTGCTACCATTTTTCCATCCTCATGATTGTGTATTATTGTATTCATAATTGTTGAGTGCTGTTAGAAATAGAGATGCACTGATTCTGCTTTTGATTCATCTGTTTTTTAGTTTTTTCCTTTTGTGTTTTGTATGTTTGAACTGTGTAAAGCATCAAGAAAAGCGCTATACAATATTATGTTATATATATATTTTTTTTATTATTATTAAAGGTGCAATGTGTAACTTTACTGGTAGAGGATCCACCTGTTTAACTCCATGTAGACGTTATAGTATTTTTCCTAAATTGTTCTACACTATGGCTTTTAAATTAAGTATCTCCATGGAGACAAGCAGGCCACATCACCAGGCCAAGTTATAGGCGAGATCTGTGGGCCCGCTCACAGTCAGAATGTCTTCGCAGTAGTTTTGGGGAATAAAATTACCTGAATAAATGAATAAATACAAGATATATTTGTTTAATGCCATACTGTGGAACTAGCCAGGCTGGTGCCACCTCGTGCCTCCGCTCAATTTCATTTCTCTCCAGCAACTAGATCAAGAATCAAAATACAATAGATGATTCGGAAAAACCCTGGAAGTGCAAGTTCGGGCACCAGCCAATCAGTGAAGAGCCATATATTCTGTGTTGTCAATGATTCCCGAGATCGAGGATTTAAAGCCAGAATAAAGAGAATGTTTGGTGAATTTCATCAAGGGGAAAAAACGTTATTGCCCTTCTTCCTAGGGGATTTGGGAAAAGTTTAATATACCAGTTAGCCCCGTTATCGGAGCATTACATACATCACGACCAAATAGTAGCGACTGGTTAAATGAAAAAAAGAACCCACCTACCGTCGAGCAAACAAATTCTAACACTCCAAGGTCAGCTGATGAATCAGGCTACAGTGGAACATCCTAGGCAAAGCAATGACATCACCATGAGACAAGCAGATAAATTACACAATGTACCTTTAAACACAAACAGAGCAAGGAAAAATGATCCAGATGTGTTTTGTAACTATTGAACAGCTTTCTAAAAATACAAGTTTAATATTATGAGACATTTTGAGCCGGCATTGTCCAGTAAATTGTCTTATTACACTAGTATATAGACCCAAATTAGATGAGTTGATCCACCAAAATTTTCATCATTGGCCATGATATCACATACACAAAAGCATGCAGTACAGTGTGTAGTGAAATACATATGTTAGAACATCTTTATCAGCTAACTGTCTGCATTGAAGTGAATAGAAAATAGATTCATGTAGCACATCACTGTTTTTACATGGGGTGCATTCTTTGGTTTCTGCAGCAGATCAGCTTAAATTGAAAACACATTTTGCTGTGATATTGTGACATGATAAAATGCAGGAATGTCTCTCACGTGTCTGGAGAGCTCCTCTGTAGCTCACAAAACGCACTTCATAGAATTCAAGTTATAAATAGCGATACATTATGTTCTATGAGAAGAGATGTGAGATGTGCTCTGGGTTGTTGCTTGTGTGTCTTCTTCTGTGGGATGTGACTGTTATACAAAAGTATATTAACTGAAATAGAAATAGACTGCTTTACCCCAGAGTCCTTTTAAAAACATATGTTACAAATAGAGCAGCTTGATTATGGAAAAAACTGTAATGATTATTTCAGATTATACTGTCATAATTAACTTGCATAAAAAGTACACAGCTAATATATTTCATTAAGATGTGACACTCTTTAAAAGCCTATAGATTGAAAAGGTGGCTTTTTTTAGGTTTTGAAAGGCAGAGTGTCCATACATAAAAGAACTAAAAACATAAATTTGATGAATTGCACAAACCGACTCCAGATGCTACAGATCTGGATAGGGATGCTGGACTGCAGTCAACAATGCAGAGAGCACATGTTGCTATAGAGTAATGTGTTGTGAAATCAAAAGTGCTGTCAGATTAAAATGATATAAATGGCAGATTTTAATTGTAGTTCTCTTAAATTAAGTCCTAAGGTTTGATTTTGGTTTAGTAACTGTTAAATTTGAATTTGAAACCATGACTTATTGTGTCAGAAACATTTAATATACTGCAATAATATCACAATACTAAACATAGCTTTCAAACATGGCATTTTTCTCTGTTCAACATGTCATTTGAGAACCACTGTTTAGTTTTTTCTTTGTTTTGTTTTGTTTTTTTGAGTAGATATTTTACCTTTGGACTGGCACTGTCAGAACAAAAAGCCTCCAAAAGATATTTCATTATCAAAACCACAGTCAATATCTGAAAAGCACTCCTTTATTATCTAATTTAGTGTTCTTAAAAACATCAAGAATGTGTTTCTCCAGAAGTTGAGCCAGCTTTGTCTGTAAGATAATCAAACAGTCTTTTCTGAAGCCTACTTTTATTTGAAATACTGCCTTTTTATATTGCTTTTGTCAAACATTGTAGTTTATAAAATTATCTCTGACTGTTGTTCTCTCTTTTCCAGATCATGGATGAAACCCAAACACAGATAGCCTGGCCGTCCAAACTGAAAATAGGAGCCAAGTCCAAGAAAGGTGATTATTACATCACAAAAGCAGTTCCGATTCTCATATGAGCTTGTCTTCAGTGCAGTTTCACCATTTGCTTCACATGTGTACCTTGAATAGAATGAAAAACAGGTCTTCCATAGAACAACACCTCCTTTTAATCAAATACATCCAACCTCAGCTAATGGTTTCTCTGTGTTATTTTAACTTGTAAAAAATGCACTCGCCAAAGTTATCGCACAAAATCCATTATTAATACTTATAGAGATGAAAGCGTGCATTCCAACAGTTCCTTAACTCCATCTGCGCTGAGAGGAATTTGTGATTTTTTGTGGAGGCGGGACATTCCTCGATTAGTGTCCACACATGCATGGATCCTGTTGCCAATAATACACTATCATGGCTATTTAAAGCTGTTCCGGGATGGGGGGGAGAGGCCCGGGTTAGGGAGGACTAGGTGCCCTCCATGTTGTTGTCCCTGGGAGACTCACCAGCATGCGTTCAGATCCAGATGTGGAATCCAATCACGTTATGCAACTTCCTGTCTTTACAATTGTTACATCACAATCTATGGAGTGCAAATGACAGGCTTTTGTTTTTCTGTTGATTACTTATTTTTTGTGGGATGGTACTTGTTGTAAATGTTTATCATAGTTTTACATCAACAGTGGTAGTTTGTTGGGGATACACTGATCCAGATTTTTCAGTTTCGTTACTGATTTTGAAGCTATGGCATTAAGTATCTGCCGATTCTTGATATTAAGCATTTATTTCCTTAAAACAAAAATAAAATAAGACAAAACTGATCCAAAAGTGTCATGTAGAGGTTAATTGTCTTGTTACATCCATGTATATGCCAAAACTTTGCACAGACACCAGTATCGGTTTGGTGCAACCGTAATAAAGGTTAAAGAAAAGTACAAAAATACAGGAAGTAGTGATGAGTGCTACAGTGGAATGTCATTAAGCCAGAAAATTCTATCCAAATTGCAAGGACAATTTACGCACAAGGTACATTCAAACAAAATAAAAGGTGGTGTCATTTATTTTATTAGCCTAATTATAACTATTGTGTAATTTGGACAGGTTTTGGCTCTTGTTAACAATACGGTTGCTTGGTAACAGTGTCAGACTTACCTCGTGTCTCATATCTGCTGCCTGTGTCCAACCAGGAAGTAAAATGTCACCAAAATTGTCAAACTAAAGAAAACTTGGTAAGATTTTTAGTCACTATTTTTAAGTTAAATGAGTGGTCTTAACCTGTCATATGCACTTAATCAAACATAAGCCCTTTGCACCTAGGATTGTTGTATTGAAGTTAAAAAATAGTATTAGGCCTGTCACAGTAGTTACTATAAAATATTACTATATATTTGGTGGTCACTATTTATAGAGTACATTTCCTTTGCACTACTGGGATTTATTTTTTTTTCCCTAAATGATAAGATTTGAGTCATTGATTGAATTAAATAATTTTGATGATTCATTACAGATGTAAACTAATCACTAAAGTGTTTTATTCTGCTATTTATTTATTGTAACTCAAGTTTTTTAAGAATATTGTAGATTTAGAATAGTCTTTTTGGTATAATCCTGCTTTAGAGATTTAGACTGTCAGTGGCATAAATTCATGTCTGTATTATAAGTTTTATATTTACTATGCATTTTCAGCAATATATATATCGGACTTCAAAATCTGTTATTGTGACAGGACTAAATAGCATACAAATTCAAACCATCGTAGGTGGACTGGCAGATTTTCTAATATTGTGTAAACTTGTAGGAATGGCCTGAGAATGTGGGATAATGACTAGCAGTTATCTGAGCACATGGTTTCGTGGGAGGAGAGAGATGTGCATGTGAGCGCTGCTGTGTTTTTACAACCTGGGCCATCACAGTGAATTACGCAAAGATGTCAGCACTGGACTATTCGAACCATTATCATTTTTCACAATACGCATCTAAAAACAGACAGGGACATTGTCAGGGAAACACAGGGGGAGGGGTTACCAAAATCTGTATGATCTAAATATAGGATTACTATGTCTGTAATACTCAAGTCAATAACAACAGTGTCTTAATAGGTGTAGAGTGCATTTTAGTCGTATTATGTGTATAGCTCTGAGTAGTCACAATTTTAAAAATTCAAGCTTGATTTTGATACTAATGAAAAGGTGACGATTGACTGATTCTAATAATCTTTTCTTTCTTTTTTTTTTTTTGACAATATACAAAAATTTCTAGCACAAAAAATGTAGTTTATCTTTAATAGTGTCGTGATCTGGTCTTATTTTAGTCCAAATATAAATCAAAAGGTATTAAGGAAAGATACAATTCTGCAATGTTTTCAGTATCAACATCAGTTTCAATACTGCATACTGCATTTGGTGTTGATTAGTATTTTATTTTATTGGAATGCCCCTTGAGATGCACCATTTCATTTTTGATGTGTTCAAAAAAACAAAACATTAGTAATACACAATACAGACAGACACAAAGACAAAGACAGAATACAAAACTTACAGGTTTACATTACAAAACATATATACATACAGACAGATTTGCTCCCTCATGCCTTCCTCAAAACTCCCACTACAGTACAACTTCTGACAATCTTTGCACCAAATTTAAAAATGTGTTCACTACAATACTGTTGGATATATAGGTATATACACAGTAGGTCTAAAAAAGATTAAACAATGATAGTAAAAATTGTTGTAGCAACAAAGCAAAATAGTGAAGAACAATACATTTAACACTGCAAAGTCTCATGTACGACCAGGCACATCTCAAACATTTAATCTGATATCAAAGAAACATGCAGAATATGATGAAAGAAAACTTGATTAATATTATTTAAAAATATTAAATTACTTTTCAACTGTGTCAAACGCATTCTTTTTATTCTGAAATGTTCAAACCCCACGTCTGTTTACATAACACTGCCTTGTTGACATGTAACACCTCTAGGATTTGATCTGTAATAATGGCCTTTTATGGATGTTGGTCCCCATTTGTTTTCCTGGAATAGTAAATTAGTCTCGACTTTCCTGTGGAGTCTGGATTGGGTTAGAGTCAGTGGGGCAGCTGCAGATGTTGTAACCTCTCCACACTCTGGGGCACGCTCTATCAAAATGCCAGTCCCTGCCATCCATTTATCACCTGCCTCACACTCTCCTGCCGCACGCGCTCCTGTCACCTGCACTGCTCTGATAAGGCCTGTCCCTAGCCTCTGGGACAAACCATCAACTACACTGGAACTGATTTAAAATGAGGGGACTAGATCCACTGGCCATTTTATTAGGTACATATGTGCATGTGCTAGTGTCTTAGGGGCTAACAAACATGTGGTTTTATCCTAGTTCCATATTTTTCATGTCAAAAAAATCTCCATAAATGTATGACACATGAATAGAAATATTATGTGAAGTGAGGAAATACTGTGAATAGAACAGTAATTAATGTTATTCATAAAACTTTTGCATTTCATGGTTCAGTTCATCACTGGCCTCTTTTGAGCACTATCAGGTGCACCTTTTCAAATGTATAATTGTCAATCATAATGCTACAAGAGGCTAGGTTTTCTTAGTAGGTCTATATATTACTAATATTAGTGTAATTACAGCCAGAGCATTTCAAAGACCACCACAGTCACATTGAATCATGAACAGGGGAGGGGAGATGACAGTTTGCAAAGAGCTTCAGTCCAAACATTACACTCTTTGAGTCACAACCTTCTATCATCCAGTTTCCCCCTGGCTGCACTCCTGGGATCTCTACTGTCAACAAAGATTTTTTTTTTTACTTTAAAGGGCCCATATTACGCCATTTTCTGATATTGTGTTTTGTTTCATTCACACGTGTTTAACACACAAATATATTTAGTCTGAGTTCTTCTTTCAAACTGAAAACTCGCGTACACCTTGACTAGAATCATTTGGATGATTTCAGATCTGAAATTGCCAGTATCTACTGTAAAAAGTAGCTATACTTGCAATCACTGCATGGCATCACAAGGTGAGCTTTGCAAACAAACTGATAATAAAGGGATTACTCAAAATGTGTAAATGAAACAAAACACAACTCTGGCCATGTTTCTCAAGAGATAACATTCTAAAATGTCTTAAAGATCACAAGAATAAATGTTGTGTAATATAGAACCTTTAGGACCTATAGATGCTATATACTGTATGTATACATTTAGAGCCACAGACTAGATGATGAGCTTATTACAGGTATCAAAAATACAGTACAAATCCAGTCCAGTGGTTGTATGTAATTTATTACAAAGCCTTACTGTGAAGCTTAATACACTTATGATACAATTATAATAAACAGCATGGTTCCTCTTCACGGTCATTTAGTTTGTGTTATGGATATGAACATTTCCTGATTTCTTCAGGTGTTTTGCGTTACACCTTTTTTACACACATCTTTCCAGGAATTTAACTACATCGAGGGTCAGATGATGTGTTATTATTTTTGTCAATTCAATCTGTTTAATCCCTGCGACTGAAAGCACATCTTGCAGCTGAGAATTCCTGCTTTATTTTTGTTTTCGTTTGAAGGTGTTCCCTGTGCCAAATAAAGACTAAAGGTGTTCATTTGCTATTCCACAATCAATCATAAAAGAGAGAGCGAGTCAGTCTGCTGTAAAAATGTGGGGGTGTTCTGCATCATGACTGCAACAGTCGTTAGGTCGGACTAATGGTTGCCAGATGTGCAGGTTACAACGGGACACAAACAGAGAACAGCTCCCTCTAGAGGCCAATGTTGGTGCCAGCAGAGGATGTGGTGGGATTCTATTGTTCATAGAAACAGCTGGTAATGGGAGAATTTCCTGGAACAATAGGTCCCTGGTTGCTATTTAATTCTTCTCATAATTTTCAATACACTGGATCGCAGAGGCTTTCATCTTTTACAGTGCAGTTGGTCTATTCTTGTTGTTATGCCAATATATAAACATTCTTAAACATTTTTACATTAGCTAACATTTGACAAACTGTTGAATGTAGCCTGTTTACAAGATTAAAAACTTTAATACTACAATTACTACTAAAATTGTTACGACAACTTAGAATAACAGTGCTATTCTTACTACACAAATGCATTATCGAAAAATGTACTTTCATTTCTCAGACGCTAAGAGTGTACTTAAGTATTTTGCATGGATTGTGGATTTGCATGATATGTGGTAAGATTATTACTGCTATTGCTAAGACTACAATGACTGTTTAAAATGATTAATACAACAATCAATACTACCACCATTACTAGTACTTAGAATGATAGTACTATTTTTACCACACAAATGCATTATCAAAAAATGTACTTTCACTTCTCAGACTATACTAATGTTCTAGTATTTTGTATGGGTTGTATGTGGTAAGATTAATACTGCTACTGCTATGACTACACTGCACTACATTATTGCTATTGCTGTGCTACTACATTTGCTTATAAGACATGTGCAAAACATATGTATGTATATAACATATTTTAGTTCTGGCCCAATAAACTTGCTCTTTAACTGTTTAGCATACTCCTCTCACTCAAACCTGCTGCTTAAAACCTTTTTTTTCACTATGTCTGCTTTCAGTGCTTTGTCAGTGAACATTGGATTCCTATCTCCACCAAATCAAAACAAAATCAAGTCATTTCTCTGACTGTGTTACTCAAAGGTCCTGGAATCGCAGGGGCGGACTTCTCGGAGGTCCTTGCAGCGCTGTAACAATAAATCGGTTTCAGTAGGTCCTGTCTGAAGGCTGCACCATAAATCTGAGATGCTGTTAAAGTCCTTGTGTATGTGTTCGGAGGGCAGTTCCTGGAAGGGTCTTAGCCTACTTCCTGCAGTTCAGTACAGTTAACATGGGGCGAGTGTGCCTTTGGTATTTGTGTTCTTAAGGGCTCCGGCTATGGTGAGGCCAGCTGTAGGCTTAAACAATGTACAACAGACGCAAGAATTAGGGCTGCTCTGTTTGGTTATATTAACTCAGGGATTTGAAAGCCAAGGATATACCTGCAAGCCTGATTTCCCGATATCTTGTAAGTTGCATGACACAGAGTACAAGGTGCTGAGTAAGAGTTTTTGGTTCTATTGATTAAACTCAGTTATGTGCAGCTAAAAAAAATAAGTAAGTAATAAAGTAGCATGATAACATAGTGGTCATAGTGAAAAGATTCTGTGTTTTGGAGTTTGCACGTAGACTGTATAAAGAAGTGAACTAAGGGAGAGCAACATCACTCAGAGCAGGGTGTTTTTGGAGCAAATTTGGAATCAGATCTGTATTAGGAACAGGAATTTATTTAGTGAAATGAAAACATCAGGATCATGTAGAGCGGGTTAATATGAGCAATTTAATACCAAAATAGCGACCAAAAAGGTGCACTGCAGCAGTTACAGAGAGAAGAGTGGCAATTTTCCAATGTGAAGTCAGTTAGAGCCAGAGTTGATGGAGTTGGAATCGCCCCCATACTCACTTCCTATTTGGAATGCGGCGGCTAGGGGTTTGTCCATTCATATATACAGTCTATGAGTTTGCATCATTCTCCTGTTCTCAGGTTTCCCCACTCTCCCCAATCACAATACATATATATGATTGATTATTAAGTTTAGAGAGATGTTGAGTTTAAGTTATAAATTCATAGATCACTGCATAATTATATGCTTCGAGCAGCTAGTGTAATTAGCCTTTTCTTCCTGAGATTGTTGTTGTTGACATAATTGGCTTCAATCATCACAATGGAGAACAAGTGGAATATAATTTGTTGTTGTCTGTTACCAAGTTATCCCAGACAGTCAGACTTGATATCTTTGTTGTTGTAAAACTGAAGAAGTTACAACCATACTTTTACCTTGGACCCTCACCCAGTGTATAATCCATAATAAACTGAGTATGTAACATCCAGCAAATATCAATCAATCAACTTTATGTATAGGAGTAATTTCAGCACCTTAAGTAGTCTTTAAGGAGGATTGGTCAGGATCAAGAGAGATGTACCTGTTGAATAAACTCAGATCAACAAGTAAAATAAAAAGAAAAAGGCCAGACAACTGTTATAAAAGTACAGTAACAAGTATTTGAGTGATTTACCTATAATGGTTCTATGGTTCAACTTACAAAATAAATAAATAAATCTATCTTAAAAGTTATTGTTTTGCCTGAAATGTTTCACAGTATGGCTTTCCGCTTATATCCAACACCAACAGGTGACTCGACCCTCAATATTGCAAGTTTTAAAGGTATTTGGAGTAACTGAATAAATGCAAGGCAGATGGTTTAATGCCATACTGTGGAATATTCATGCACAAGAAAAGTTACTTAGTTCTCCTTGAAGTATGGCATCTTCAGCTTATGAAAAGTTGGCTGTGTTTATGCTTGGGTTTAGTAGAGGCAATTACTTCAGATGGTGGCTTTGATAAAATGAGGTGCCAACCCTAATGCCTCTTCTATTGACATTCAGACATCTCAGGCCAGTTCATCTCAGACCCTCTTCTTCTGAATGACTGATCTCCTGCTCACACTTCCACCTCCCCCTCCCTCTACTGCCTCGTGTGGTTACTCACCGACATATCAAAGTACCAATTACTGTCCCTATGACTTGTGTGATGCTGTAATTTCTTATCTAACGTAGAGTGCTGTGTCATGTTGGGTTATTGCCATTTAGCTTGTTTTGCTTGCACATTTTATCATTTCTATTCACTCGCAAGTATCCATGTATTCCAGTTATATACTGTATATAAGTAGAAATGGGTGAGGTGTGCCAAATATCAAAATATCAATATATCGTGATTCTAAATTTGGTGATGCAGTATCGTTAGAGTATTTTTGGGTATTTTTAAGCAAAGTTTTGTTCCTTATTTAGTGTAAGGAAACTTGTTTATGCAATACACATGACATATTCTCTGTGTTGATCATTATTAGATGGATTTTATATTGGCAGCAATACACAGATTATCATATCAGTTAACACATGTATCGCCATAACGTGATAATATAATCACACGATAATATACCCTGTGATTCCCAAGCTCCTATTTTTCCCAAAGCATCTGAAATGTGCCACAAAATGTTGAGGACAAAATGTGAATGGACCTTATAATCCACCAAAAGAATTCAGAAATGTCTCTTTATACCTGTTATCTTTATTTTTGTCTAAGCATCTGTTTTGAATGTTCTTTCTAGATCCACATATCAAGGTGTGTGGAAAAAGGGACAACGTAAGGGAAGCTAAAGAAAGAATCATGTCCGTCCTAGACACAAAGGTATCGTATTTTATTATTTGCTAATATTCATACTCTATCTCTCTCTCTTTCTCTTTCTCTTTCTCTTTCTTCCTCTCCTCTTCCAAAGTATTTAGCAAAAACCCTTTTATTCAGCCCCCACTGTCAGTCTGACAGATTGCAGACTGCAGGGCTCTATGGATTGGCAGTAATCTTGGGAGGCATTCACATCAAGGGCTCTGTCATGTGTGCATATGGACAGCGTTCCCATAGCAACGCAGAATCACATAGCATGATGGGAGCGCGGCAGCACCCCCTTGGGGCGGACAGACATTTGTGCATTCATCCCAGAACACATTTGGTAGACATTATAGGAGTGCATTTCATTCGCTTTTTCTGTTTTGGTTAGTGTTTTAAATAGTTTCCGTCATGAAATTAGATTATGATAGTTAGAGGAGAAAGCAAAGAGCTTTAATCATGATCATTTGTTATTTTTTATTTTGTTTTGTATTAGCATGGCCACAGAACTTTAACTTAACCAAGGGAAATTAAGAACAGAACAGACCCTATTAAAAAGTACTTCCTGAAAAGAAAAATAAATATCACTACCTCATCTGGTAGAAGACTACATTATTTTCAATTAAATTAATGTGTTTTCAGACAGTTTTATAAAAAGAAAAAGGAATTGAAAAAAAAATGTTTACGCAAATTTTATTTTTCACTAATAAATAGTAATTATGTCAATGGGACAAACCATATTGCCAAGACCACCTTGTAGACTGTGTATAATCTTGAAATCTATTCTGCTGTATTTTACCCATTACTCAGAATTAGAGACATATTTCAGTCAGTGATGTAAGTAAACACAATATAATTAACAGGGATGCACCAATCCAGCTCCATACTATTGGTAGTTTTCAGATTCTAAAATAGATGATATCATAATCCCAAATGGGGGTAAGAGCCAGTTTTTGCTGTTGATTACATTGTACTTTGCCATGAAATATCCAAAAGATAAATTTGCAAATGTTGAACCTGTTATATTCATTTACTAAACCCAAAAACTCTCTGTATTACTACATAATTGAGCATTTTAGCAATATTAATTTCAGCTACCTCCCATCTGTATTAATTAATCTTGGCCTATAGCTATATGCTGTGATGTCATCTGAAACCCAGAGACAGCTTTAAGCTGATCTTCTGATACCCGGTATCAACCCATACCAATGGAAAGATTTACTTCCTTAAACAAAAATAAAGACAACAAAACAAACTGATCTAAATGTGTTATGTAGCTGTTGTTTATCTCTAAAATAACTACAGACAACTTTATATAAATAAAAAATCAAGCATTGAGACTTTGTTTCCCAACCATGACCATAAATAGTCTTATTTCATCAATTTACACATTCAAACAGGATTTTGGCTGAACCAATATTTGGAATCTGATAGCCCATCCAGTTTTTCAGAATCAGTGCTGGTAATTACTATTTTGAGTTATCAATCACTATATGAAATCAGAAACAATATTTATTGTATCTACATTTTCTTTACTACTACTGCTGAGAAATATGTGTTTCTTTGTTTTTTTGGTTATATGATAAGATTTAAGTAAAATGTGGAATTAATAACTTAACGTGTCTCATACTGTTGTTTATTTACTGCAGTGAGTGTGTATTGGCCATATTTTAGATTCAGTATAGTTTTGGGGGATATTTCTAGTCCTTTAGGGTCATTAAGTCAAAGCCATATATTAGAAGGAATGTAACAATATGTAAATTTCTCAATACAATACGTTCACAATATGTATCTCACGGTAAGATTTATTGTGATGTTTTGTAGAGGCTAACAAAATTGTGAATATACTACTTTTTCCTTTAAAATGACAAGACTTTAATTCTGTCATAATCCAAAGAGTTAAGAGTTATTTCATTGTTTAAATTGGACTCAAACAGAGCAAAGTATCATGGTATATGTAGTTCCCTCTGTTTCTTTTAGTTATTGCTGCACCATTACAGTGAATTTAAGCAAAGACACTTGAGATTTGTTATATTGTGATGGCCCACAATATTACTGAGGGACTTTTTACAATATAATATCATGATATTGATACATATATTGTTACAATATATTAGTTTCAATATTATTGTTAATCATCTATATTTTCTCCAACAATATATCATTGGAGAACAATGACAGTATCTGATCGGTGCATCCATAGTAATTAATGATGTTGTGTTTGTTTGAATGAGCCTGTATGCTTGCTGTGTGCGTGTATTGATCTGGAGCAGGGGCTATTATTGGTCACTGTTTGACTCTGGACTGTCCTCTCACCTCATTAGAGTAACAGGGTGACTCTGAAGATGGACGTCTCTCACACTGAACACTCCCATGTCATCGGAAAAGGAGGAAACAACATCAAGAGAGTGATGGAGGAGACAGGCTGTCATATCCACTTCCCCGACTCCAACCGCAACAATCAGGCAGAGAAAAGCAACCAGGTATGTTCTCTCTGCTATAGTATGTTTACATAAGGCTCAATAAAGCCAGAACATTTACATGTATAATTTATGGGCTGCTTAATTTATGCAATGCCTGATGATAAATATGTAAATAGATTAAGTTAGATAGTTTAAAAGAGCAAAACTAGGGCTGCACCGATGTGTATCAGATATTGGTACTGATATATAACATTTTGATGGATTGGATATCGGTCACGGGATTCAGTTGATATCCCTTTAGAGGATATAAATTGGCGTAAAAAGACAACTTAACTTTTCTAATGGAGGGTCTGTCACATCCATGGAGATTTAATGCTTTATCTGGGATGTTTCACAGTATAGGCAGGCAAAGCAAAGGCATTTCCATGGGGGCAAGCTGGTGGCAGATCCTCCACTGAAAAAGTTACCTACTTTTAAGTATTAAATTATCTAATACAAAAAGTGCCTAAACAGACAGACAATACATTTTAAGGAAACTATAATTAGGAAATAGGATTTTTTTTATTATTATTATTATTTATTTTTTATTTTTTTTTTACAAAATGTGTGTAATATAATCCAGAAAACAATTGGATTACTAATTAAGTTGACAATTATCTCAGTTAGTTGGAATTACTTCACTTGTTTTATATTGTTCCAAAGTATCTTTTGTTTCTTTTATTTATTTTTTTCCATCTTCTGATTAACTATGCAAATGAGTGACTACCTATAATATTGTTTTTAAACTGAAAATGTAAGGCTTTTAATCTAACTCAGCCAGTTAGTTTGTGTGTAGTCTCACCACCTCATCCCTCTGCTGTTGCACTTCTCTGACTAACTTGTCATCTGTAGCAGGCAGGATGCTGAAAACTGCCAGCTGTTTTGATTGGCTGGGCCTGGGGAAAGCTTGATGTTTTCGCTGGCCTCACTAAAAGAGTGCAGGACGGTGGTGTAATTACCATCTAGGTGTAGCTGAGCAGTTGTGTTAGCACGCAGCAGGGCACATCATCAGTCACAGTGTATGCCAGGTGCTCCTCTCTGCACCTGCCAAAGAAGTACACTGACAAACTGCTTAAATATATGGGTCAATTTTGATTAGGTTTAAATTAATGGCCTTTCCCTTATTTATTTAAATGTTATTATTATAGTAAGGTCAGTGTGGCTGAAAATATCTGCAAGCGCCTTAAATGCCCCCTCAATCACAGACAGAAAATATGGAGTAAGATGAAATAAATTTACAAAAATATTGTTGAAAAAGTTTTAGGTTTCGCTCAATTTGAAATCCGCAATGCATCTTCTTTGTCATTTGCACAATTTACCTTGGATAACGTTAGTAAATTTCCATATTTCTGTTGACCATAACTGTGCGTAATTGACTGTTCTGGCTGTTGCTGTCATGAAATAACCAGGTTTGGCGTTGTGTCCAGGTGTCCATCGCAGGTCAGCCAGCGGGAGTGGAAGCAGCCCGGGTAAAAATAAGGGTATGTCCAATTTTGAAATCTTATTCTGTTTTTAGAGATATACTATGCCCAGAATACATCCTTCAAATATCATAAGATCACTAACTTCAGGTCATAGTCTGTATGAAGAAGTGGACTAAGGGAGTGTGACATCGTCCAGAGCATTCGGCTCCAGTCAAATGAAACTCATGAAGCTCACTAGCAGTTACAGGAGCAAATTTTGAACTGAGTTTCTCATTAGGAGGAGGAATTTATTTACAGACAAAATAGTGAAATAAAAACACCTGGATCATGTAGGGCAGGTTAATACGAACATTTTAAGACCAAAATGACAAGACTCACTGCAACTGTTGCAAAGAGAGGGGTGACAGTTTTTCAGTGTTAAGTTTATTGAAGTTGATGGAGCCAGAAGTGCCCCCATGCTCACTTCCTATTTGGAACAGCTAGCAGGTTATCTACAGTATGTCCTTTTATGTATACAGTCTATGCTTCAGACTGACAAAACAAATCTACTGTTCCTTTTGATAGCGTGAAAGTCCCCTTACTCTTACTTCTGTAAAATTTTATAAGTGATATTTAAGAAAGCCATTGGGAATCATTCAACTTTCTTATCATGACATAATTCTTCACATTATTGGGTATATTGTTGTAGATTTTAGTTTGAAATGTCGAATTATTTCTTTGACCAAGAAAAATGCACTTCAACCTCCGCTCAAAAGGGAACAAGCTGGAAACTTGGATTTAAACTGGTCCCAGCTCGACTTCTCATGCGTCACCCAAATGACAGCCAAATGTTTTGTCCAACACTGACTTGCAGAGGACGAACGTGAATAGAAACTTTTGCTTCTCACAGTACTGCTGAAGGTTTGGAAAAAATAGATGAAAGATGTGTTACATGTAGCCAGAGTATCTCTTTTTCTCTAGAGATCAAGTGATATGTTTTTGTTTTTTGTTTTTTTCATGGCCGATATTGATTGATTGATTGATTCTTTAGAATCTAGAGAAATCTAGATGGCCGGTAAGGTCTGCCGATATTTTTTGGCCGATATGTAGTGCAGATTTGGATAGTTTTTTCCCCAAATATACAATTTTAACTGATTACAAGCTCATCTACTACCCTGTTTTACTACAAATTGGATAAGAAAGCATGGTCATGTTCACACTAAAGTGTTCAAAGGAAGTGTTATGCGATTTTTTAGGCAGAACAAAATATCGGCCTGTGCTGGACATTTAAGGCCTATAGTAGGTGGTGGGCGATATCTCGATATTTTAAATATATCGAGATAGTTTTTAAACTCGATATGAATTCTGACATACCGTATATATCGATATAATGCTTATATTCAATTTTGATTTTGCCACTTCGCTTGTTTACCTTCTCTCTCGTCACCTCTGCGCGCCCCCGCCTCCCTGATTTTGTTCGCTCGTGTCTCATTCACTCGTCACTACCACCGTGAACGCCGAAAGTTGGTGCCAGTGAAAAGCTTCAAGCACCACGAAACTTTTCCACCATTTACAGACAAAACCATCAGCAGCACATCCTCATATTCCACCGAGTCGCGTCCTTTAGCCCGAAAGAAGCTAAACGAGCTGAGCTGCATGAGAAGTCCGCTGTTTATGCAAATGAGCCATGCGCTTAAGTTTCGTTTCTGTAAAATGTAAACACACGTGCGCAAAACTGCATTAAACACATTATTATCTCAAACAGACTGATGTGACTCGTAGTCGTTATGCTTTATATATTGTTAAGTTTAGCAATGTAAAGTTTATTTATGCAGAAGATTTGAATGAATAATCTGTTGCAGTGTCACTTGTGCAACAGTGTTTGGAAACGTTGGGTTTGATCTGCAGTGGATTGTGGGAAACCTCAGAGCTCCTTACTGCTGGATAAGAACATGGATCTATTAAAATAAGGAACATCCTGAGCTTCTTCTTCTAAAGGAGCTCATGGTTATGGTTATGGTTTGGATAACAGAGTTAATGCAAAGATGAGCTTGTGTTGAGTTGTTTTATTTATGAATGAAAAGAAGGAAATATGTATTATTTCTTTTATTTTACAGTTAAATTATTATTTATGTAATTAGAGTTTTTGTAATCTTAAATGTTCCTATATGAACTGCTGACCTCTTACACTTCAATTTTAAAAAAAGGACCTTGTGGAATTTGGCATATTTGTTTTTGCCGTTTTCAGTTTTAGGGGGTTATTTTTTCTTGAACATATATCGAGATATATATCGTATATCGAGATATAGCAAAATATATCGAGATATATTTTTTGATCCATATCGCCCAGCCCTAGCCTATAGCCAGTATGCTAAAAAGTCCAAATACTGGCCAGCAAATATATCTCATCTGTGTCAACTTTTCTCCATGAACATTGTTCTTAATATGGGTTAGGGTAATAGCTGAAACTCCAACAGCTATAGACATTCAGAGGTATGTATCATTCTTGATCAAAACTATATCAATGTAATCTTTATTATGGTATTACTTCTAACTGTAAACAAACAGACATCCAGACAGCCAGCGTCCTGACCTAACTCCTACCTCACGAGGGCAGCTTCAGGGACCGGTACTTTGCATTCGCACAAACTCCAGCACTTCCTCTGTGCCGCAGGCTCCATTCCTGACTGACTCCTGACCACTTCCCCTTGAACCAGAGTAGAGCTCAGCTAGAACCTCGCTCTCTTTGGCAGACTCTTGTTCAGTGTATTTCATAGTGTTTTATTTCTCAAGTTTCTGTCTGACTGGAAGACTGACCTATTGCCTCCCACATGAGAACTGACCAAAACTAACAATGGTGCGGATGAGTGAGAGAGTGAGGAGTGTGATGAGGAGAAAACTTATATCTGTGAGGAGTTTAGTGGAATCCACTGGCAGTGTACAGATGTCCTCAAGGCTGTTTGCACAAGCACTAACCTTGGTCAGGTCATCAGCTAGTTTCTATGTCTGGAAAAAGTGTTTCAAATTTGACCTTAGAGTAGCAGTACCAATGGGTTTTTATTGTAAGCCGTAGAGAAGCAGAAAAGTGTTCTTGCGTCCAAAGAACACATAGAGGGGATAAGAAGGGTGGATCAAAGGCACATTTCCTTTACTTTATTAAATAAAGCCAGACATCGATACCTATCACACATCTCACTTAACCTGTGCTCTTGTGAAAGAGAAGTCACGGCCACTGTAGTGTCCGGAGCAGCACTCACGCAACAGTCCTGTGTTTTCATGATTTTAATCACTCACATTTCCTCTTCACCTGTCTTCTGCTGGCATTAGCGCCCTCTTTGGGTAAAGATAATCATTCATGTTCTTTTAATAGATAACAAACTGTTGCTGTCACTTTGCATGAGTTTATGAGATTTGTGTTTTAACCACACAGTAATCTTATTTATCCAGTATTACAGTGCAATTACAGAATAAAGAAAGAACTAATGTCATAACCATGATCTAGACAAACTGTGTGCATGTGGTTCTGTCAGTTCATATTGAGTCTGGAGCAAAATTTTGCATAAAATTGTCCTGTTCTTCACAAGCATTACAAAGGTCACTGTGTTGGCAGGTTAGACCTAGTTCATTTATCTGTTTCTGTCCATGCAGTTCACAGGCTGTGGAGCTCAGTGGTGGGTGGTCCTGAGACCACATCCCTCTGGAACCAGAAGTGGTTTGTTTGTGCCTTTCCCAGAACAATGCAGTGAGACTGGAGCACCGGACCTTTGATCCCACTCAAAGTCTATATTCTCCACATTATTTAAAGGAACAGGCTCATTCAGTCTGTTGTTGAGGTAATTAAAGCTTGAGGAGGAGATGACAGACAGGTGATGAAAGCTTTCACCTTTCTGCAGCTTGACAATGTTTCAGTTATTTTTTTTAAAAGTCTGGATAATGGGTGCATTTACACTGAACACACACGAGTCTCATATATGGCAGGTAGACTTTCTAGAAAAAGCTGAGTTCAGCGTTCTCTTAAATCAGTCCATTCTTCACTGAGCTCTGGCTCCTGCTGCTCTGCTTGTCCTGTGCCGTGTTTCCCTCCGCACTGACCTACATTTCTGAAGCCCTCAGAGAGCTTCGCTGAAACGTGATAGAATTGTAAGGCCAAGCACATATGGGACTGATCAAGGGTGCATTTCTTTGGTCGGAGCAATTCATGCTGCTTGCCCTTCACTGGCAGCCAAAAGCGGAGTGGCACTGTTCCCGAGATCCAGTGTTTGGATAACACACTCGGCATATGTGAGTCTGTGAATGGGCGTGTCCCTGTAGGATTCCTCTGTGTGCATGTCTAATGTCTAACTATGTGTACTTTTAATGTAAGCCCATTTGTCTAAAGGACTAAGTGCTGCCTGCTAGGACTTTTGTTGCTGCTTTAGTTTAATGGCAGTGTCCACTTATATTTGAATATTTAAATAAAAGTATTATATCTGCAAGTGCTTTTAACAATATATTTTTTAAATGTTTCTACGATCTTGGCTTACTTACTTTCAGAATTCTTTTTACTATGGAATTTTGGCAGTATTTTCTAAAACAGGTGCACAGCTGAAGAGTGGTTTGCACTTCTTCCTATTAGACTGACGTTTTGGACCAATATAGGCAGGGCGCACCTCTAACTACTGTTTATATATAGTAGATGTGGGTTTAAATGTGTTAATAAAATCTAAATAGAGTGAAAAAAATTAGTAACAATAACTGCCTGTGAAAGAGTCTATGCCCTCAGATCACTTGAGGGTAGGCCAACAACAAAATTTGAAGTTTTATATACTGAAGTAAATATAGGTGATAAACAATAATACTGAAACTAATTTATGGCACTAACACAATAATCCAAGAGCAGATTTAAACCACAAAAGCTAATTCAAAATATTGTTTAAAAAATCATGAACTGCAATACATAAACAGCAGAATAAAACACTTTAGTTAGTTTGCATCTGTAATGAGTCACACACATTATTCATTTAACCTCCTACAACTCAGATTTTATTGTATAGTCAAAAATAATCAAACTAAATCCCATTAATGCAAAAGAAACATACACATGATAAATACTGACTCCCAGAAAATATCGTATTGAACAATAAGTCGATATAGGCATACAATATTGTACATGCTTGTTAGAATATGCAGCACAGTCCTACCAGGTGCAGGTAAAATAAAAAATACCAGTTCATTTGGACCCCCCAGTACAGAACCACAGACACAGAGCAAAAAAGAGAAAAATATATATAAATTTGAGAAGAACGTGCTTGCGCTGACAGGTCATGTTGTGTGATTTTTATCTGACAGCCAAAACCATTCCCCTTTCCCCACAGAACATTTAACAGCATGCGTTTGGTGTACCGTACATTGCACGCTGCACCTTGTATCGATTATGCTCTTATGATTTATTTGACCTGGCAGCCTGCGTGCCACATTCTACCACCCTCCACTAAATAAAACCTTGTTATGTCTGAACGTCAATGCATATAAGTCTAAGTAATAGCCCCTCCCTATTCAGTGTTTTTACTCCATGTCCAGCTGGAGCCAATCGCGAGCATAGCATAAAGGTGATAAAAGCTACTGTGCTGTGCGTGCTAGCCTTTTTATATTGTAGACAGTAATTGCTACGCTTCACTTTTTCATGACAGTTTAATGATAAGCCTTCCAACTTCGTGCTGCTGCAGTGTTCTGGCGGGCAGCGTTTTTTGACTCAAATTGAAAATATTTGTAGATGTCAGTGTCACCCAGTTGTTTTGCGTTTCACTGACGTTGCACACCCACACTTTGGGGCGACAGTTGGTAGGGCGTTTGTCCACTGATCCGAAGGCTGGGAGTTCAAATCCTGCTCTCGACATAAAAGCGTCATCGGTTGAGCACGCAGATCCACTGTGATACCAGCTGACACAGATGAATGCTGCTGTTGTTGCGTCCTTGGGCAAGACACTTAACTCCGCCCCTAGGATTACATTCATACCATACTCCATACAACTCACCATTATTTAACAGATAACCCTATGTCCTGTCAATCATAACATCCTCCTTGCACTATTTTTTTTATGAACTCTCTATATTGCTGAGATATTTTAATTACTTCTTTCATTTTTACTTTACATATACATTTATATAATTATGCCTTATTTGTCTGTCTCTTGCTATTTTTGCTACTTATTTAGAATGTATTATTACCATTTATATTTTTTCTCTTTGTTACTGTATTATATTGTGATGTGTGAGCTACTGTATCCAAGTAATTTCCCTTTTGGGTCAAGTAAGTCTAAGGCTAAGTGTCTGCGTACATTGGCGTATGAACGTGTGCGTGGATGGGTGAGCGTTTCCTTTATGTAAACTGCTCTGAGTGTCTTGAAGATGAAAAAGCGCTATATAAAAATGTAATCATGACCATGTGACCATTTCTGTTTTCTGTCATAGGAGCTCCTTCCACTGGTTTTGTCATTTGAACTTCCAGCCATCATGCAGGCAGACCCCAGCTCGCCCACTGTCCAGCACATCTCTCAAACCTACAACCTCACCGTGTCCTTCAAGCCCCCCACCCGCCTCTACAGAGCGACTGGAGTGGTACGCGGGTCACAGAATAACGCCAATGCAGTCAAGGTACACAATTACTCTACTCCTATTTTCTGTGCAGCTTTTGTGTGTCGTTATATAATATTTATAAACCTTATTCAGAAACACTGGTATATCTTTGATGTTATTTGCATAGTCCGTTTGTATTGGTTTGAGGTAGGCCTGTCACAATAACACATTTGTGATAGTGTGATATATTGCTGAAGTAAATATAGAAAATAAATGATTGAAACAAATTTATTCCACTGACACAAAAACTCAAGAGCAGATTTAAACCACAAAAATTATTCAAAATCTACAATATCATTAAAAAAAATCATGAGCTCCAACAAATAAATGGCCAAATGAAACACTTTAGTGCTTAGTTTGCATCTGTAATGATTCATAGAAGTTATTTATTCAACCTTTTACGGCTCAAATCTCATCATAGCCAAAAAAATAACCACAAATTTCCCAGAAGTGCAAAGAAAAAGTCCCCATGATAAATATTGACTACGAAAAAATATAGTTCCAGCTTTCATATACTGAACGATAAGTCGATATAGTAATTATCGTGACAGGCCTAGTTTGAGGTTTCACACTTTGGGCTGTTTTAAACAGCACTCTGTTCTGTTACTGCTAATCACTGTAGCCGCAGTCTTTCTGTGTAGCCCTTAAATAGGCATTACGCTGGGTAGTGGAGACTTCCTGATAGAATTACACAATTAATTGCACTAAATTCACTAAGGCTGAAATTATTTAAGTAGCAGGCTCTGTCCACAACAGCACCCGGCCTTTTCTGTCTCTAGAGCAGTGATCATTTCCGCCCCAGTTCTATCTCTGGGGTTTTTGCAGTTGCTCTGGACAGTGGATAGATTTCAGTGACAACTAAGAATGTCAAGATTAACCAGTTTTCCATCTACCGTGAATACTTCTGGCCTTTAGCTCCGTGGTTTGTTTTGCTGTCTGGTTGTTAACAGAAAGAAAAAAGAGAATGTGCTAACTTCAGCCACAGCTTGTTAGCATTAAAGGGCCAGAGCCCAGTATTCACACATGGGAATTGAATCAGTTTCAGAAGCTAGATCATTCTTTATTTTGCCTCTGTTTAATGTTTTAACAGCGCAATAGCCTACAACAGTTAGGTGTACATTAGAAGGAGGCTTAACATGACATCCAGCTATCAGCACCGCCACAGTATTTTTCCTCACAGTAATTGTAACTCAAAAAATTGTATCTTGGGACATCCCCAGTGACAACATGTTAACAATTAATACTGTGAAAGTTTGATGTTAATTTGTATGAAGTGGCTAGCCTAAGGACACAACAGCTACAGTGGGGCTACCTGCTATTCCCAACAGTCTCCCATCAGAAGTACTATCCAGGCCCAGGCTTGTTTAGCTTCTGAGATCTGACAATATTGGGCATTCACAAGAAGCAGCAGCATGGCTACAATTTACTTTGAACTTGTGTAGCTTTATGATACTTTATCTCTGTGTCTTCTACACTTCTCTAGTTGCTTTTCTCAGATGATACCTTTTCACTCCTCCCCGCAGTGACCAACTGTCAGAGAGAGTTTCTTATAGTCTGACATTGGAAGCCTCACTGACCCTGTCAGTATTTCAGACTTTTGAATCTATCAAAACTTTCATTTCATTTCAGCTGGATGACTTCTCTCCACTTGCAGCCATCTGTGTGCTGTTTTTGTATGTGTTAAACCCTTTCCCAAGCCTCCTCCTTTCTCTTTTTGTGTTGACTTTAAACTGGTTTGCTCCTTGAGAATAGTAATCATCATACTGCATATACACATGTCTAAGCTGTGGCATTTGGCTGAGCTGTGGTTTGGGAAACGCAGCCCAAGAATCTTCTTATTGTCTCTGCCAGTTAATACCCCACTTTACTTTACAAGTCTCTGTTTAGTTTGCCAGACACTGCATTTGTGTACATTATACTTGCATTCATTCACGCTCTGGTCTTACTGTGGCCTACATTAGAACATACTTTCATGTGTGTACAGTAAATGACAGTTTGGTTGTGGAGGCTGGCACTTCTCTGCTCTTGTGGTGGGTCTGAGGGGTCAGTCATTGGGAGCAGTGTTGTCAGGAGGCCAGAGGATTACAGGAATGTTTGGTGTGAGACCCTCCAAACACCTCTGAGGAGAGCCAAACTCTGTGAAGGACTGGCCACAGCATGGACTACTCTGCCATGTTGGAAATGCCTCATTTGTAAGGCCAAGTGACGGCTTACAGAACCACATTTGGACAAAGAGAAAAGACTGTAGTAGTACAATGGAAAATGTCATGTTATTTTATGAAAAGTTGTTCTTCCTCCCATTCTCTTTTTAAATGTAGCGTTTCAGACATTGACGATGCTTTTTTATTGTTGACAGAATATTTGTATATACATTGAATCAAACAATTTTATTTCAATTTGGAGGTTAACACTGCTCTGGTACATGATAGAAAAGCACAAACAGCAAAATACATTTTTTATGGTACCTTTATATGGTAATATTGTTTTATGTGTAAAGTGTAAATGTGTTAATATATTATGAACACCTACATGTCTGCTAATTAGAGCTTAATTGATCGCTTGATGGAGTCTAAGTTGACCAAAATGTATTGTATTTATTTTATTGATACTACAATGACTTTTACATCCATTCTGGTAATAGTTAATAGTTTGAGATCTGCTGAGAGTATAACATGTCACCTACTTTTACTTGACTAATTGCTTAATTTATTTAGTTGACTCATTTTAGGCAGGTAAAATAATGTGACATAATGGAATGGAATGGAGTATTGTATTTGCACCCCTTTGAAACTTGGATACACTCTCAGTTAATTTGGTCTGGACTGTGGCCTGGTAATAATTATTGTGGTGAAATAAGCCCTGTGGTACTGTACAGCAAGAACCTGATCTGACATCTACAGTGTAGTCACATGTCATCCTTTCACCTGGCTCATGATTGATTGCAGCAGACTGCTCCATGAAGCCCCTTCAGCTCCGGTGCTCATTACCTTGTCACTTGTGTCCCCAGAGGGGCACTGCCCTGCTGCTGGAGCATCTGGCTGGCAGCCTGGCGAGCACCATCTCAGTCACCACACACCTGGACATTGCACCCCAGCATCACCTCTTCATGAAGGGACGCAATGGAAGCAACATCAAGCACATCACCCAGAGAACAGGGGCACAGATCCACTTCCCTGACCCGAACAGCCCCCAGAAGAAGTCCACCGTCTACATCCAGGGCACCATCGAGTCTGTGTGTCTGGCACGCCAGTATCTCATGGTCAGTATATATTTTTCAGCTCATAAATCATTAAAATAACAGACCTTCATCATATAATTATACAAAGTGTATTTTGTGATACCCAAACCTCTCAGGGTCAGTCTGGGAACTAGGGATAGAGTGATGTATAATAGTTGGCGGATATATCAGGGCGATATTTGCACATTTTAGCATATTGGCTATCATTAAATCTCCCACAGAGGCTGATATCTTCTTTGATCCATCCAGTTATCTAAATATGTATAAAGGGTATGCATAAAGCTTTATTTGAAAACTTTAGTCCAAAAAAAGTACTGCAAAAATCTGACTGCATACCTCTCTTATCCAGTTTGTAGTAAAACAAGGTTGTGGATGAGTTTGTACTAAATTCAAATTAGATTATCTGGCCCTACATATGGGTCCAAAATTTCCAACTGAACTCATCTCTCATCAGTTTCTCTGGATTCTAAACAATCGCCAATTGATCTCTACTGGAAACACATTTTGCCACTTTTGCCAGTACCTTCTTACCATTATGGATTCTAATTTATCAAGAGCTGACATTTATAGTAACTAATATTTTATGTCTATTCATAGATAATCTTGTTTTCACAGCATATAAGACATAAATGTTCTAGAATGTTTTAGAAATTAATTTTGGGTGGGCTTTTCGGTTTACCGTTGTCTTCTTGTGAAATGTGAGTTATAGAACATCCTGCTACGCGAAGGTTAGATTGTATAAATTATAGCAGCCACATACAAGTACTCTGTTGAATCTGTATTTGAATCCGTTTGGCTGGGGTCCGTATACAATCATTTTGGTAACGACAGCGGATGCGGTTCTTCCAACCTATAATTCCCATGTCAGTACATTTACATTTTTAAGACCAGAGCCTTGGTTTTAAACTTCTACTGGTTCATAATGTTTTGTGGTCAGTTTTGACTTATTGCCCTTGACCACAAAGCTACCCTCATTGGAATAACTGGGAATCGCAATCAAATACCAGTTTGAAAAATGAAGAAGAAGAATGAGAAAGGACCGATCTTTAATTACATTTGGTTAAAACTGCTGCTGAGCTGGAGGATACAGGACAACTCACCCGTAAACATATTTGGCTCTGTGTTTGGATAGCCATAATTCTCCCTGCTTTCTTTTGTCTGCGGTCTCCCATTTGGCCCCAGGGACACTTAGCAAATGCCAGAGCTGTTGTACTGGCTAAACACAACTTTCACTAGGTCTGAACTGGGCACGGTAGAAGCCTCAGTCTGGACAATAACAAACAGATAATTTACGTGAAGTGATTTGGCCCAGTTGAGGTACTCACACAGACGGGTATAGCAGTGGAGAGTTGTAATGTATTTAGCAGAACAGTGTAAACATAGACATATAGCACCATCCATAGCTTTGCCCTTAGTGATTTGGCCTCTTCGTCGGATGCTAGATTACAGCTCCAAGCTTCACAAAGCCAGTCTGGGCCCATTCTTTGTCGCTAATTACACCCACTTACAATAGTTTTCAGCAGTTCACACCCAAAATATCGTAGTCTGTGGTGCTTGTGGTGTGGCTGTGATCATGCAAAACAGATTGGTGTAGGAGGAATTCCCCACACTTAAGAGTAGATTCCAGCTAAGAATAGTATTTATTGATTCAAGCTGATATATGTAGGTCAGTGTTTGATCAAGTATAATAAAGACACCATAGATGTGTTTTAAGACAACAGACAAGTAGTGGACGGAATACCCCATTTTGTTACTTAAGTAAACATACGGATATTGAAGAAAAAAAAAATACTCAAGTAAAATTAAAAGTATCACATGATTAAATCTACTTAAGTAAAAGAGTAAAAAGTAAAAGTATTTTGTGCAGATCCTGAGGTCTAATAAAGCTTCAAATGTAGTGATTTTAATAAAGATTTGTGTTGAATTTTGTTCAACAGAAACAGTTGAATTGTTTGTTATTTTTTTCCTGGCAGTTTTTATTTGTATATTTTGCTTTGCTCAAACTATGAATGTGTTAGAAATAAATCCCACAGTCTTTTTTGAAGGTCTCACACAATAATAACAAACACTTTTTTCCTTTCAGTTCTGTTCAAAAATGTAGTGAAGTAGAAAGTACACGCACCTGCTCTGAAATGTAGCAAAGTAAAAGTAAAAAGCATCCACTTAAAAATGTACTTAAAGATGCATTGTGTAACTTTTCTGGAGGGTGCGTTAAATGCGTTTCTTTACGTTAATTTATGGAGACCGAACCAGACCAATTTACAGGTCAGATCTGTGGACTGACAACCCCGCTCATAGTCAGAATGCCTGTTTTTTACTGGGTATTTTTGAACTTAAACCACCTGTAATTGAAGCAATGTGAGCTATTTAATATCATACTGTGGGGTATTCCAAACCGAGCTATGACATTTCCATAGAAACAAGCAATTGACGGACCACCAACCAAAAAGTTACACGTGCACCTTTTACTTTACATTTACTTTGGGAATAACAAAAGAATGTGCTTTTATTGAATTTTTTTCACAGGGCTGCTTGCCGCTGGTCTTAATGTTCGACATAAAGGAAGATATTGAGGTGGAGCCACAGTGTATCACAGCACTAATGGAACAACTGGACGTATTCATCAGCATAAAGCCCAAGCCAAAACAGCCAAGCAAGGTTAGTCACCCACATACCACAAAGTAAAATACCTCTCCCCACAAAGGTAAAGTCACACCTCTTGTTTGAAAAACCAGTGTCTGACTTGCTTAAATTCAACGTCAGGCAAATCAAACAGGAATGAAATACACTACTGCTCCAGATGCACTCTTTACTATTGGAATGCCCAGGAATGAAATAAATTAAAGATCGTCATGTCTCATTTCATCACCACTTTGGTTCAAAACTGCAGCATAAAACCAAACAGGAAATTTGCCACACAGCACGAACTCTTGAGAAAATATGGACAGGCAGATCTTGTCTGCACCACCTGATCCTCACAAACCCGCAGTCATCACTTTATGGTTTTACATCTGAAATATAGTAGTTGCATTCGCTTTTACTTCACTGTTTGAATTTTCAGTTCTGATACCAATTCGATACTATAGGTTTTTGTATGTGTCGATATGAATCAATACCAGTGCAGAGATAGAAACAAAAATAAAATAAGACTCCAACTGCGTTATGCATCTTATTTTTATCCCTCATATAACTACAGCTTTGTGTAAATAAAAGTTCAAACATTATGAGACTTTCTGGGCCAGTTATAACCAGTAAATAGTCTTATTACATACATTTATAGGCCCATATACCAGAACAGATATTCTATAGAAGTATGAGATTGTTGCATCCCTTTTACATATTATATACATTTGCATCTGCGGTTAGTATAAAATATATAAGCCAGTCATTTTCAGATGATTACCATTCCAGCACAACGCAAACTCTTGAGAAAGTATGGGCCAGTAGATCTTGCATGCATCAACTGACCCATACACACCCTCAGTCATCAGTTTACGCTCCATCAACCTCAGTGAAAAATAGTAGTTGCATGCTCTTTTACTCCACTGTGTTGTTTTAACTCGCTGTTCAGATGCGATTGATTTACAAGCATCTTAACACACCTGTTGGACACATGTGCTTTGCTCAAAACCAGACGTTAAAATTAGCGTTGGTGTGCTGCGTTCCTATTCATATTTCCTGCTCCTTTTCTCCACCTGCAAACTTTGAGATACCCATGCCCCACACTCACTGAGCCAAAGCCCTGTGCCCGTGCTTGACAGCTCCGTAGAGACTTGTGCCAAGGTGCCAGTGTAAACACCAGCCCACTCTTTACAAATTCTTCAGTTAAACATTTTAATGAGGTGACAGCAGTAATCATAGGTACAGTCCAAAGTTCGCCTCTTTGTTACCGGCATGCTGGCAGGGTTAAAAAGGCATGCTAGAGAAATGGGACGTGCTCAGAATACATTTTGTTGGGAATTTTTCAAAATGGAGAAAGAAAAGAAAGAAGGATGTGGAGCCAGTTTTTAAAGTTTCTCCTAATGTGGAAAACTGTTCATTTTTGGGCTCTGTAAAAATGAAAATCAAGCAAATTAATCAATAGCATATGTTTCTTTTGTTCATAATTTCATGTTGATGTGGTCTTGAACACCAGAGTGCAAATTGAATCCAAATCATTTTTACCCATTTTATAGTACATTTAGGGTGTAATAAAGTATTTCCCAACCAGGAGTACAGGGACGGGTAAGATGGTCTTTGTTATATGTTTTATATCCTTAAAGGTGCAGTGTGCAACATTACGAGTGGAGGGTCCGCCACTTGCTTGTCTCCATGGAAATGTTATTGCTTTGTCGAGATTGTAACACAGTATAGATTTAACCTATTTAATCTATCTCAAGAGATACAAGCAAGTTACAGCACTACACTGCATTACGATTCAGATCTGTGTAGGGTCACTCCGTTCACAGAAAGAATTATTGTTAATTATTGTATTTTAAGCAATAGAAACACCAGAAATGAATAAATGCTAGATGGATTTATTTTAAGTCATACCATGTAACATTGCAAGCAAAGTCATAACATCTTCATGGAGACAAGCAGGTGGTGGACCCTCCACCAGAAAGTTGCGCAGTGTACCTTTAAGAATGTTTCTGTGGGACATTTTGGGCATAAATCTTATTTTTTTAAAAATAAATAAATTCTATTTGGGAATGTACTTGTTAACAAATGACTAAAGAAACACCGGTACTCAATAGGGGGTACTCAAGAGTGTGAGACAATGCTTAGTTGGTACTCAAGAGAAAAAAGGTTGGGAACCATTGGTGTTGTAGATCCAGATAGAAAAACATGCTCCTCTTAAGTTTTATTTTATATGTCTGCATGCATCTACATTTCACAAAAAAGACTGGCTCATAATACAACTATTCTGAACTATTTATATAAATGGTTGACTAATATTGACTAATATAAGCTCATTTCTTACACATGTATCTGTAAATCAGACAGATGGTTTGTTATGCAATCAATTGAGACTTTGCTCCCATGTCTCCCCATTTCTCCCACACAGTCCTGTTTACTCTGCTAATCGGAGCTTAATTCCCCTCTTCCTTCCTCCCTCTTGTGTTTGTCTCCCCTCTGTCCTCTCCCTCACTCCCTATTTCTGATGCCAACATTCCCAGTTCTATCTATCACAAGCTCCACCCCTTTGCCCTGTATGCTCTTCTTTATTGTAAAGCTGCATTGTGGAACTTTTCTAGAGGAGAGTCCGTTAAATGCTTTTCTTCGTGGAGATGTTATTGCTTTATCCTGAATGTTTCCGAGAATGCATTAAACCTTTCTATCTTCATGGAGACCAAACTAGACCAAATTTTGTTACTTTATTTTTATATTTTATTTTTACATTTACATTTATATAATTATAAATAAATAATTATAATTACATTTATATAATTAAAAATAAATAATTATAATTACATTTATATAATTATTCCTTATTTGGCACCAGCCTAATTACTGATCTGTGGATAGACAACCTCGCACACTTCCAGAATGCCTGTTTTTCTAGGTGTTTTTGAGCTGTAAAATTGAATAAATGTAAGGTAGAGCTGTTTAATATCATACCGTGGAACATTCCAGGCACAGCAATCACATATCCATAGAAACAAGCAGGTGAAAGACACTCAGCAAAAGATGTACATAGTACACCTCTAATACCTGTGTCTTTATTACAGTCGGTGATAGTGAAAAGTGTGGAGAGGAATGCCGTGAACATGTACGAAGCCCGGAAGTTCGTGCTAAGACTGGAAAGCAACGGAGTGTCTTGCTCATCGCCCCCCATGGCAGTAAACCCCGCCCCCAACGGCCCCTCCCCCTCCCTCATCTGCCCTGTTGGCCTGGACATCTTGGCCTCAGCTGGACTGGGGCTCAGCAATCTGGGTAAATAGCTGCATTTAGATGAAGAATTTAGGAACATTGTGTGTCAGTGAGGTCATAGCAACATTTTTATGTCATGAGTATTGGTTTGTTCACAGTTACATGCACAAAAAACTATCTACAATATTTTGCAAGATGAGTTGTACATGTAGAGAATGAATATAAAAGAATGAATGAATGAATGAAGGAAGGAAAAAGTGGTAGTACAATACTTTACAGCACAGTAACAGTGTGGTATAATAGGATGGAACTAGCATTGTACTTAAAGGCCCTATATTTGTCAAAATTGACTCTTGTGAGCTTTAAGCCATGTTATAATGTTACCTCATCAAAAACATACCTGGAGTTGTGTTTTATTTCATTCACACTTTTGCGTAATCCTGCATTATTAGTCTCTCTACATCTCCAGAGCTCAAAATGCTTTGTTCCACCTTATGATGTCACGTAATGATACCTTTTACCTTTCATTTAATAGAGATTGGCTGTTCTAGCTTCTATTATTATTCTTTATTTATTTATTAGAAAAGAAATTACTACTAGGACTATAGTTATGATATGGAACCAGGGCTGCAAAATATCTGTAATCTATGCAATTTAAATCCAGTTACCTGATTTTACTGTGCTGTAATGTAAAATGGGCCATATTAATTTATTTAGATATATAAATTAATAGTAATAATAGTAACTGTTGGTAATGTACATGGAAATTTTAATTAAAAATTCATAACATAAACCCACCATAATGAGCTAATAAAGAAAGTAGCCCGTCTTCATAGCATTGTTTAATAGTATTCCATAAGCCCCTGTAGAAGCTGTACTTTTCAATTAATTACATTATTCATTGCTTTTGCCATGGTTTAGATCAGAGTAATTTCTCATTTAGACTCACAATTTCAATTTCACAGTATGCAGAAATTCAATTATCTATGCATGTTGAAGAAGTGAAGAATTTAAGCATGAAAGCTGTCACTGGTTTGTTTTATACTTCAGAAAAGACAAGATTTTGTTGGAAAACAAACAGCTCTAAATGCATGAGTCTCCACCAGGGAGCTACACACTCATAAATCATTGTCACTCACATCTGGGTTGGCTGCACGCTGAGAGTCTTCCCTCTTAGCAAAACATTACCCCCAATACTGTATCTTAGTGCCAGGCATTCTCTGAAATCTTCTACTACTACATCATCAAGACTCGTGCTCTTACCATCAGATACACACTCACTACAGCATAATTCTGAGGTTGCACCTGCTTAATGTATGCTTCACAGTAGCCTCCAGCCTGAGCTATATGCAAATCCCATGTGCATTCAGCGCCCAGCCAACCATCAGAAACTAACCGCCGCGTAGTAGCCAGTGAGGGAAACATGGGTATCATAAAACAGATATGACCACATGAAGTTTAGCTGACCTCTATACACAGCCATGGAGTTCATACTGGAACTACACGATTTTGTCAATTTTTTGTATTTTTGTAGCAAGGGGAGTGTTAGGATAACCCTGAGAGACCTGCTTTTATGTAAAATGGGCTGGGATCCGATTCCTCAGTATGACACAAGTAATTCATCAAGAGCAGTAGTAGCAGCAGATAGAAGAGTCCGCCAGCGTGATGTATAGTATGGGTTTAATGGTAAACTCAAGTTCACCACACTCCAGTGCTGGTGATAGCTCCAGGCTACTACATTTTCTACTTGCTTTTTCCTAATATACTGACCCAGCGTTTTTTGTTCCGATATCGATTTTACACTATAGTTTTAAGTATCTGCCATTACCAATGCAGAGACTGAAACAAAAATAAAATAAGACTATCCAAATGTGTTATGCAGCTTATATTATATAATTACCTCTGCCAAGGAGGTTATGTTTTTGCCGGCGTTTGTTTGTTTGTTTGTTTGTCTGTTAGCAACATAACTCAAAAAGTTATGGACCGATTTTGATGAAATTTGTTGAATTTGTTGGAAATGTGAAAAGGAAGAACTGATTTCATTTTGGGGGTGATCCGGAAGAAATCCTGGATTCTGGATCACTTTGAAATTTTAGTTAACATTGTGGTAAATGGGGCCAAAAATTTTGTTTCTCAATATCTTAATTATTGACCAAACCCCATGAAATTTGACTCAGGGATGGACAATGGGATCCTCTTTCATATTCCAAAGGCTGATCCGGATCTGATCCAGAAGACTGATTTTATCACAATTTATATAAAAAATGGGGGTAGTCCTTGGCGGAGGTCTGCTCTCTGAGTGCTTTTCTAGTTAGTATCTTTGGTTAGCATAAAAAATCCAAGCCCATAAAGTTAAGATGAGTGGTTTAAAGATGTATATGTTGGTAGATACAGATATGTACTTGGATTTACAGGTTTATCAACAATATTTGTTTTACAATGTATCAAAACATCCATACTCATACACTTTTGTAATTGTTTATTGTAGAAAAACTTCTCAAAGCTTCAAACAACAATATTCATTTAATATGTAAGCATCTTATTTGGTAAGTTTTACAATTTTGATGATTTCTGAGTAGATTTTCGTGTGTTACTTGAACCACAACCAAGCTTTTTATTATTTACAGATATACACTTTAATGTATTTATTGCAATTATGCTGGATTGCAAGAATATTTTATTATAAATATTGATTATAGTTAAAACTTGTAAAATTATTCATTTTTGACCATTTTTCCCATGATTACTTGAAGTATTTTGATATAAAAACTTTACAATTACAGCATAGTTTCTTCTAGTGCCCTTTTCTTTCAGTACAGTAGAGATAATCCCAGCTTGAGAGTTACTAAGAGGCCAGTGATGAAGCAGTGGAGCCACATCCTGGTCAGTAGTAATTGCTACATGCTTGTCTTGCTCCGATTACAGTGAAGTCTGCCAGAAGAATCGTTGGCCTTATTTCTGGAGTAAAACTAGCCTCTGTTTAAAGCCGCAGACCTGATTCTCTCTGTTTTCATACACCGTGTTTGCTTCTACCCACCAAAGCCCCACATTGTTGCTCCTCTCAGTAACACGTTTTTTATATGATTGAGAACACACTAGACCTATACTTTGCCTCCGTGACCTTGTAGCTTTTCAGAAATTCGTTTGAGGTTTTGTGCCTGGTTGATGGCAATTTGATGAAATTCCTTTTAAATAGTTGGACAACCAAGTGTATTTTTGCGAGCTGGATGAGACCATGTGATTAGACTGAAGAATGGCTCCAGGCTTTGACAGGACCACCACTGATTTGTCCGACTTACAGTATCTCTCCATATTCTTCTCGCTGTAGGTTTTCTGAGTGCGGCTGCTCCTCACTCCCTCAGCAGTTCTCCCAATGCGGTGCTCAACAGTTTAAACAGCTCCATGAGTCCTCTGCAGACCCCCAGCCCCACCACCCCCGTGCACTCCCCCTCTATGTGGCCAAGCTCTCTCACCAGCACCCAAGGTCAGACACGCACATTTTGTATTTACAATATGAATCCATTACTGTGAAAACTGGGAAAATATGAAGTATGTTTTAATAACTTTAAATGAATAATTACTATATATCAGAAGCCAGCTTTGTCACAAGTATTCATGGGTTTCAGTCACGTAACATTTGGCACCATTTTGAGCATTTTGAACAATTTATACGTAACACAGAATATTTAGTTTTGAATTGTTGATTTCTACGGCAACAGTCCTCATGGGTAATAATTTCTATGATGTTATTCATGCCTCTGTTTATATTTAATAAAAGAACAGACAAATACTAGGACTTCTAATGGGAAATGTGTAGTAATTTGCAGTGGAGTAGATACATTAACGTTAATTCAATTAAATGTTCTATATTGCACAGACTTGACTCTTGTGAGCTTCAAGCCATATTAGAATGTTGTTACCTCCTCAAAAACATACCTGGAGTTGTGTTTTGTTTTCATTCACACATGTTTGAGTAATCCTTTATTATTAGTCTGTCTACATCTCCAAAGCTCAAAATGCTTTGTTCCAGCTTCTGATGTCATGTAGTGGTACCTTTTACCTTTCAACAGAGATTGGCAATTCCAGGGCTGAAATCATCCAATGATTCTAGTGAAGGTGTTCAGTGAATCACTTTCTGTATTACAATATAACATCACAGTTTGTGTGTTAAACATGTGTGAATGAAACAAAACACAACTCCAGGTATGTTTGTAATGAGGAATTATAACATTATAACAGATCATAAAGACAAAAACTACCTAAGCTAAAAGACTAACTACTATACATCCACTATACATTTTATCAGATGTGCTGGCAGATGTGCAGGTGATTGTGTTTTGTATTGCAATATTTTACTCTTAAACTAACATGTTTGACTGTTTGACCCCTCTGTGCCATAGCCTTCTCATCTCAGCTCATGCTCCACCCGGCGACGCAGGCCACGCTCAGCAGTATCCTATTGTCAGGGGTGCAGGGCTACACCCAGAGCACTCCCTCCCCTCCACCCGGCCTCGCCCCCATCGACAAACAGCCCAACGGGGTGCCTGACTGCTCCAAGGCCTGCACGCTCAACGGACACGTCAAAGTAACCACAAACCATGTCTATGTTATCTCTGTAGGCCCTGTTCACAGAGCCTGGCTTGTTCCGGTTCTCTCAATAACTGTGGAGCCGCACTTCCCACTCCATTCATTGTGTGTCGGGAATTAGCCAAATCGTGTTGAAATAAATCTAGATTTAAATATTAGACAGAGGACAGCAGATTACAGATACATAATCACAGACAGTGTTAAGACCTTTGCTGTAAATAATTCACTGGAGGAAGCTTCTGTTTTAGAAAAGTAGGTCTTTGTGTCTCGAAGCTAGTGCTAACTGAAATTAATTACTGATGTTAAAATAGCACTGTTTTGTGTTCTTCTTTGTCTTTGTCTTTATCTTAATGCACAGTCTGTGATTATTCATGTAGATCTAGCCAGGTGGCTCCATAAATAGGGCCTATTACTACTTATTTGTGATTTTTTTTTTTCCTGTACTTATGTCACATTACAATTTTGCAGCATCCTAGCTCGGTATACACAAGAATAACAACTGCATCACTTGCGGAAACTGTTTTGAGTCCCCCTCCGTGTGACCCCGTGCAGGAGGCCAGTGGACACAACCCCTCAGAGCCACTATCAAGCAAGTCCAACCCAGACGAAGGTACTCCTATCTACAGATGTAATCTTTGTGTATTCTGCAAGAACAGGTCTTTTCAAAATGTATGATTCATGATATTTGTAACATTTTAACACACCTGAACTGTAAAATCTATTTTATATTTGCGGCTTGGAGCGGAGAAAGGGCCTCATTTCACTACTCCATACCAGATGGAGTATTTTAGAACCTTGTGATTTATGTGTCATCATAACCTTGGAAAAGCTACATTTTTGAGCTGTTAACAATTTCCACCATACAAGACTCCTGCACTCTGATCTTTCATATTTAATATTGAAATAAAGACTTTTTCACTTATGATTTCAACAGCATTTGAAACCACAGCAAAATGCCTTATTTTGTGTTGTCTATACAGTCGTCTTAACCTTATGTGTGTTTATTGTGCTGGAAGAGAGACAGATTAACTACTGGTTGGCCTATGGTTCTGAAAAGGCCGTAATTTCCTCTGCGCTTTGCACTCGCTCGCGGTTTCCCCCTCGAACCTCCTCTCTCACGCGTCTCCCTTTTCCACAGTGTTTTTGAGCATGCCATACCCCGATGTGCTCCACTGTTTACATTGGCTCGCCTCATCCCTCTACTGGCTGTGCAGAAAAAGGGTTCAAGCATTGTACCCTGGAGATTTTGAGCTAGCTGACATCATTTTATTTTAAAGGTGCATTGTGTAACTTTTTGTTGGGGTCTTTCTTGATTCTATGGATATGCCATTGCTTTGCATGCAGTATGATATTAAACAGCTCTACCTTACATTTATTAAATTACAGGCTGATTTAGGGCTCAAAAAAAATCTAGAAACAGGCATTCTGACTGTGAGTGGGATTGTCTCTCCACAGATCTGACCTGTAACTTGGTCTGATTTGGTTTCCATGAAGATAGAAAGGTTTAATACCATACTGTGAAACACTCCAGACAAAAGAATAACATCTCCATGGGGAAAAGCATTTGACAGGCCCTTTAGCAGAAAAGTTACACAATGCACCTTTAAGTTAAAAAACGTTGACATTTAGCTGTGCATACATAGGCTGCACTGAGCTAGCAAGGCAGGAAAACAGTAATTACAGCTGCTCTAGTCCTAATTAATGGACACAGCCAACTGAGGCCTGTCACATTTGAAAATGCATACCAACGCTTAATTATAATTGTCGTATTGTTATTGATGTTGATAATGAAAGGTTTATGAATCATACAGTAATTACAAAAATATATTAATAGATTTTCCTCTCTACAGGCTCTGACACGTTTGTGGAGGTGGGCATGCCCAGAAGCCCCTCTCACTCGGCCAATGGGAGCGAGCTGAAGCAGATGCTGGCATCATGTAAAACATCATCAGGGAAAAGGCAGGCCGTGGAGCTGCTGCAGGGAACAAAGAACTCACATTTACAGTATGTTTAATGGAATTATCTCACACCATTTGTAACTGATGAAGTGGCTTTATTTTTACATATGCAAGAAGCGATGATTTACTTTGACTTAACTTATTTTTTTATTAAAGGGCCCATATTATGCTATTTTCTGATCTATGTTAAAATGTTTTCTCATCATAAACATACCTGGTGTTGTGTTTTGTTTCATTCACACATGTTTAATGCACAAATCTTGCTTATTTAGGCTGAGTTCCTCTTTGAAGCATAAAACATGTCATGTGGTTAAGTGCTCTACTCTGTTTTTAAATTCCATACACCATCACAAGGTGGAACTGAGCATTTTATGATTTGGAGATGTAGACAGATTAATAATCCAGCGTTAATCAATGAAACAAAAAAGTGTATGAAACAAAACACAACTCCAGGTATGTTTTTGAGAAGATAACAGGAGTTTGTATATAAATGAATTCAGCTTGTACAATAGTACCTATTATAAAATCACACACACAACTATTATACCTATATATTCATTTTGGGCCTTTAAGGTGCACCATTTAACTTTCCTGGTAGAGGATCTGCCACATGCTTGTTTCTCTATGGAGATGTTATTGCTTGCCTGGAATGTTGCACTGTATGGCATTAACAAATGTATGCCAATGAAGACAAGCAGTTGAGGCCAAGTTACAGATCATCTAGTATTTAGAGAGGCAACCCCACTTACAGTAAGACTTGTCATACTGTGGAACATTCCAGGCAAAGCAGTTACATCTCCATGGAGACAAGCAAGTGGCGAACTATCCAATAGAAAAGTTGCATTGTGCATCTTTATTTTGCCTTATCCTTAAAGATGCATTGTGTGACTTTTCTAGTGGAGGGTCTGTCAAATGCTTTTCTTGATGAGATATTATTGCATCGTCTAGAATGTTTCACATCGTGGCATTAAAGAGAGGCAACCCTGCTCACATTAAGATTGCCTGTTCTTCTAGGTATTTTTGAGCAATAAAACCACCTGTAATTGAATAAATGTAAGGTAGAGCTGTTTAATATCATATTGCAATGACATGTATAGGAACAAGAAGGTGACAGAAAAGTTACACAGTGCCCCTTTAAACAGCTTTGATAAATGCACTACACCCAACACAAAAGGCATCCCCAAAGCTGTTTGTTGGATCAGAGAACTGTTGGATGTAGTTAAAATGACAGTGCAACTCTGGCTATATTCAGACCAAGGCACTCCTTCAAATTTCTCAAGCTGCAAGTCAACAATATTTTGAGTCAAGTCCAAATCTCCGTTACGAGCGTTCATACTTGGAATGCATGTATCTGGACGACAAGATAAAACGTTACAGATGGCAAAGCAATTTATGGCCAGATAAACTGAATCCCACATGCACTGTTGTACAATCGTATCCAGGTCAGCTAAAACAGCACTCATAAGGAATCTATTCTTACATACTTTTCTATATTTAGGAAGGCTGGGTGATATATCATTAAAATTACATTGAAAAAGTTGTGAGCTGTGAATAGTTGAGATATGAAAATTGCAGAATATTAAGTGTGACAAGAAGAATACAAAAACTAGTGTAATCTTTAAAAGGGTATAAAGTGACATTTCTACACTTTTGTCCACTTATTATTATTTTTAGTTAAAGTTTTTATTGATTTTAGGACTTTTAAGAAATAAGCAAATACAAAAAAAAAAAAAAAAAACTTGTGCAACCCTCCTCCCTCAAAATGACATGGTATAGGTCATAAAACTATAACTGCTACAATCTACAGGAAATCTACAGGAAAAATGAGATCCTGGCTATTATCCAGAGTCCAGTCATATTTCAAGTGTTACCTGGGGTGAAATTTTCTTGTGATTTCAGGATCCCAAAAGCTATTCCAATTCATGTCCTCTGTATAGTCTTTCAGTTTGTTAAAGATGAACTGTGTAACTTCTCTGGTTGAGGGTCCTGCTCACTGCTTGTCCCCATAGAGATGATATTGCTTTGCTTGGAATGTGCCACAATATGTATTAGACTTGTCTATTTCCATAAAAACATCCATGTGACTCTGCCCAGCTAAGTTACAGGCCAGATCTATGGAGAGGTGACCACGCTCTTAGTAAGAATGCATGTTTTTCAAGGTATTTTTGAGCAATAAAAACAACTTTAATTGAATGAATGCCAGGTGGATATGTTTAATGGGGTACTGTGGACTATTCCAGGCAAAGCATTAACATCATCACATAGACAGGCACGTGGCGGACCCTCACCATGAAAGTTTCAGAGTATCCTTTAAGCATAGGCAGGAAGATAGGAAGCAGTCTCTGACATTGACTTTATCCAGTCTTTCAGCTCAGGGCGTACAGGAGTTTTCCAGTTTCTTAAGATAATGCTTGACATTGTTATCAGTGCAACCACGAGATGTTTGGCATTTGAGATTGGTCTCCTACTAAACACAGTTCAGGGGTTAAAGGCAATTCTGAGCCCCACCAACCCTTTAGAACACTCATAACTTTAGTCCAGAATTGATTATAGTATGAGTATAGTATTCCCAAAAACAATGTTGAAACATCCAAACTTTCCATTTTTATTTATTTCCAATAAAAGCTATGAAGCATAAGTTTCGTACTATGTAACCTAATCAGTGTGTGATAATATCTATTTAAAAGCAGTCCAATTATTTATTATACTTTTTCCAATAAGAGATTATAATTGGGGTGGAGCACAGGTCAGAATAATGTGAGATTGCAGAGAGATTGCAGACAGGCAGAGAGGAAATTTTAGTACCAGTATACAACCCTGAAGATGTGATTGTTGTCAGTTTAAACGTCTTTAAACCTTAAGATTGCTAAGACAATATTTGTGAGCTTAGATATTTCTTTCACAAACAGTAAATTTTGCTCTGTTTATCTAAAGTATATTTTTCAACACAGAGTTTGTACACTTCAAAATCAAGAATAACTACAATACTGCAGAAATTCACAAAAGTCTATCACACCAAAATATAAAGTTTACATATTGAACTTTTCAAAAGTCACTAATAGCCCTTGCCACCAGAGTGATACAAAAATTTTGTCTGAACCTTGAGATTCTTTTTTGTTAATTTTATTCTAATATTTTGTACGTTTTATCACAAAATTTGAATCGAAACTTTGTCAGGGCTTTGTGTTCAAGTTTGTGATAGTATTTTTTTCCTGGACATCTCAAGAACTGCTTCAATTGATTTTGCATATTTTTTTTGTTCACAGTTCAGATTGCCTCCTGTCAGATGCAGAGTCCAGTTCTTCAGACAGTCCAGTGGCGGATAAGAAGGCACCAGGAAGTGAGCGCGCAGCTGAGAGAGCTGCCCAGCAGAATGAGCGGGACAGAATCCGACTGGCTCCGCAATCTTCATTTGCAAACATGCAGGTAAAGGAACATATAACAGCCCCTGCTTACAGACCTCACATAACAACTACGAATGAACTATTTAGACTTAGATAAACTTTATTGATCATTACGGAAAATTATTTGGACACCGTAGCTCACACATGTAATATAATAACAAAGCACAATCAAATTAACAGGTAATTTTCATTTTCATTTACTTTTATTTGGTCAATGTATAACTTACTACATACATTATATTCAGTCTGATTCCCATAAAAAAAAAAACATATTCAGTATGTAGAACTTATCATAATAAATAATAATAAGTAGTAATAAATTCTAGATAAGTCGCAAAAATAGCAAGAGGCTGGTGTAAAATAAGGCAGAATTATATAAATGTATAAGTAAAAATTAAATACAAATATATTTCTTAGCCGAAAAGATCTTATATATCATCTAATCTATTTATTCTAGAGTAGGACAGTTATGGTGTATATCTAACTTTTCTGGTGGAGGGTCCATCATCTCCACAGTATGGCATTTAACAAATATAGCTTGTATTTATTCAGTTATAGGTGTTTTTATTTCTCAAAACTATATGTATATAAATAATACAAAAATATACATATATACCTAATTATATACATAAAATATACATCATTTCTGTGGGTCCACTGCTCTGTAGATCTGACTTGTAACTTAGCTTGGTGATGTGGCCTGTTTGTCATACTGCCATACTGTAGAATATTTCAAGAAAAACAACATGGAGTTGCAAAGGTGGCGGACCGCCTGCTAGAAAAGTTACACTGTGCAGCTTTAAACATACTTGGCATTGCAGAGTGAGACAGAATCGCTGCTATAAATTGGCCATGTGGGCAGTGAGAAGGGCTTTTTGCATGTTATGCTCTTCTTGTATAATTACATCTGGAAAGAAAACCCTGCACGCTCATGTATCACACGGTATTGCAGGAATTGTGTGTATATATTTTGTTATCTAGGGTTTATTTGATTAAACTTTTTGATATGTGAAAAAATAAATAAATGAATACAACAGCTCAGATAATCTCCAAATACATGTCTGAACAGGAATATAATACTCGTACATCTGTGTGACATCTTTGCAGGCTTTCGACTATGAACAGAAAAAGCTGTTGGCAACCAAAGGTAAGTTAACATGTGTTGCTGTTTGAGTTACACAATAGTTTTATTTTTATGGTAGCGGGGGAGTGTGAGAGGAAATTTTATAGTACCCCAGTATAAATTCACTGTAATGGACGCTTTATGGCACAGTGGTAAAATTACCAAAACTATATAATTTGATTTGTGTTATGTTTGTCTAGTAATACTACAATGAAAATTAAACTACTTAAAGATGTACAATTTCACATTTCTGATGGGGGTTAGCTACCTGCTTGTCTTCATGGAGATGTTTTTGGTTTTGCCTGGAATTTTCCAAAGTGTTAAACATCTGTCTTGTATTTATTCAGGTATTTTCACAGTTAAAAATGCTAAAAAACATGAATTCTTACTGTGAGTGGGGGATCCATAGATCTTACCTGTGGCCTGTAACTTGGTCTAGTTTGAGCATATGCTTGTTTAAAAGGTTAAATATTACACTAAACTGATGCTTTAAGCTATGTTAGAATGTTGTTAGCTCATCAATAACATATCTGGAGTTGTGTTTTGTTTCATTCACACATGTCTGAGTAATATTATCCATCTTGTGATGTCATTAAACTGTAGTTTTCAAGTTAATAGCTACCTTTTACCTTTTGTTCTGTAGAGATTGGCAATTCCTGGGCTGAAATTATCCAAATGATTCTAGTCAAGGTGTATGGAGTTTAAAAACACAGTGGAAGCACTTATTGTATTACCACATGACATCATTAGTTGGAGTGTTTTCTGTTTGAGAGAACTCAGTCTAAATATGCAGGGTTTGTGTATCAAACATGTGTGAACAAATCAAAACAAAACTCTAGTTATGTTTGTGATGTGGAAACATGATACCTTACATCAGAAAATAGATTAACATGGGCCCTTTAAAGAAATTAAGTTAAATGCCATACTGTGGGACATCCCAAGTAGAAAGCAGAATTATCTCCACAGAAACCTTCCACCAGAAAAGTAAACATTTAATATATTTGTGTGAATGTTACAGCGATGTTGAAGAAGCCAGTGGTGACTGAGGTGCGGACTCCTACCAACACTTGGAGCGGACTGGGGTTTTCCAAGTCCATGCCAGCAGAAACCATCAAAGAACTGCGGAGGGCTAATCACGTGTCCTACAAACCCAGCATGAGCACTACATATGAGGTCAGGATAAATCATAGATTACAGTTTGAATTAAAATTAAAATGTCTAAAGTTGATGTGCCTGTGTATGTAGGGCTCTCCGCTGTCCTTATCACGGTCCAACAGTCGTGAGGGCATTGGAAGTGGCAGTGACTCAGATAACTGGAGAGAGAGGAATGGCACCGCTAATGGGATCGGTCACAATGAGTTCTCCAGTGCTGTCAGTAGCCCCAAGAGGAAGCAGAACAAATCTGGTCAGTTTACTGCTCACTGATGTTCAAGCCACATTTACAAGCAAATATAAAATGGACATCATTTTCAAGTGAACTATAAAAACCCATTGTTTTTCAGAATGTGTGAATTCAGTACTCAACATTTTACACTAACACGTCATGCATCATGATTGTACCATTTCAAGTTAAATTCATACCAGATCATTTCATAAATTGCTGTTCTTATTGTAATCTGGTGTAATCTTAAAACTCACTTGCTCACTGTTAAAAAACAGTCTAAACTCACAAATGTACCACACATAGCTGCTAAAATCATACAACCCCCACACCCAACCTAGCAGATCTTAACAAAAGTGCCATAGGACGCATTACATTCTCTAAAGAACAGGACTCCACTCACCCACGACAGGAACACCTCACCCACCTGTCCTCTGATCGGAGGTACAGGGTGCTACCAGTGACCTTCTCAACCGTCACATTCCTAAACAGACCGCACTGAGTGTACTCTAATGTCTGTTGTTGTTTGTTTCTATGTTATGTTTTTGTCTGTCTGTGTGTATGTCTAATGAGTACTGTGTTTGTGAAAAAAATCACATAAAGTAGAGTAAAAACAGTTAGATACTATAACTGATTTGACAATTAAAAGCCACAATATACTGTATGTATGTTGGTTTTGGTCTTGCTATCTGGTCTTGTAACTGTTTTTCCTTCTCATATCCCCATTCCTGGTTGTATTTACAGTGATTAACATAGCGTGATTGCTGATATTAGCTTTTTTTTGTCAAGCAACAGAGCATTACCTGAGCAGCAGCAACTACATGGATTGCATCTCCTCTGTAACCGGAAGCAACGGCTGCAGCCTCAACTGCTCCACGAAAGGCTCTGACCTGCCCGAACTTTTCAGCAAATTAGGCTTGGGAAAATACACAGATGTTTTCCAGCAACAAGAGGTAGTTTTCATCTTATGTTTTTGTTTAAAGAACATTTTGAGTAGTTGTTAATTATAGATCTGTTTTCAGATTGATCTTCAGACGTTTTTGACACTAACAGACCAGGACCTGAAAGAACTGGGGATCACTACTTTTGGAGCGCGGAGGAAAATGCTGCTTGCTATTTCAGGTTTGTAAAGCACTCATAGATTCTTTTATATAAATGGGCATAGCTGACCTGCTAGCCAGCTCATTCCAAATAGGAAGTGAGCATGGGGGCACTTCCAGCTCCATCAACTCTGGCTCCAATTGATTTTACTTTGAAAAATTGTCACTCGTCTCTCTGTAACTGCTGTCGGACTTGTCATTTTGGTCTTAAAATGTTCTCATTAACCCGCTGTGCATGGTCCTGGCGTTGTTGTTTTTTTTCACTAGTTTGTCTGTAAATAAATCCCTATTCCCAATATGGAACTCAGCCCCAAATTCGCCCCTATAAGTGCAAGCCTCATGAGCTTCATTTGACTGGAACCGAATGCTATGGGTGACTTCACACTCCCTTAGTGCACTTTTTTATAGATTCTATGATTGTACAAGCTCAAAAAGCCACACGGGAACAACAAAAGTATACCTCTTTGTATTCTTCCCCATATTTTTCAATCCAAACCCAAATGCCAAGTTTAATTTGTTCTTTGTCTCTCAATATTAAAAGTAAGCTTAAATAGGTGCCTTGGGATTCCTCCAACTGATCCAGCTGCGTTTCTAATCCTGACATTTTGCGAAGTTAAAATGGCCTTCTCTCTTTTCGTCACACCTCATTACTGATGTCATACATAAAATCTTATAAAAGTGTGTAAGTGCATTGTGGTGAGATTACGTGTTTCCTGATTCTAGATATTTATTGATACTGTGAAACCAAGCCAAGGTTAATGAAACGAGGAAATGTCAGGCTTGTACAGTAATTAGTCTAAAGTGATCCCAGGCCGTAACTGATTTTGTTGGCGAGCAAAAGTTTCAGGACAAGTCTTATCCATCTTGTACTGATGGCCTGGGAGATGTGCACTTAGATTTTCAGTGACTGCCAGCTACAGTTGCACGTTGCTATTAAAAGACAAGAATGGTGTTCCCAATCTTAACTTCCATCACACCAGAAAATATAACATAATTCACACTGATGGCAGGATTTTAAAACAGCTTTTACTTAAAGGTCCCATATTACACAAAATTGACTCTTGTGAGCTTTAACATACACACATAAAACATACCTGGAGTTGTGATTTATTTCATTCACACATTTGAGTAATCCTTTATTAATACCCTCTCTACATTTTTAAAGCTCAGAATGCTCTGTTCCACAAAATACAAAACAAAACACAACTCCAGGTATGTTTTTGATGAGGAAACAGCTTTATAACACAGATCATAAAGTAGCGTAATATGGTCCCTTTAATTTCCCTCTGTTGAAAAGTGTGTGAGCATAAGAAGGCCAAAATCAAAATGACAGAATAGTAAACATTTTGATTTTAATCCACTTTCTTGTCAAATTTAATCAATTGAGTCTTTATAAAACAATAACCAACATGACTGCAGCTGCCAAAATGATAAGGAAAAAAGAAAAGCTTTACTGCCGTTGTCAAAATCCACAGACTGGGAATGTACTTTGGCAGTATGTTACGAACTTGAATCTAATAATGATAAGATAAATGACATGTAGCTTCAGTTACTTGTGCATACTTTATTTAAAAATAACTCCAACCAAACCCAAAACATGAGTATTTTTATACCCCTGTCTAAAAAGTAGCGATGACTTGGTAATGCTTTATAATAACTTCACTAGCCTTAAAGGTCCATGTAACTATGTAACTTTTTGCTTGTTTCTATGAATATGTCATTGCTCCGCCTGGAATGTTCCACAGTATGTTGTTGAATAGCTCTACTGTATTTTCTGATATATGTTATAATGTTGTTTACTCATCACAAACATACTTGGAGTAGTATTTTGTTTCATTCATACGTTTAAATCCTGCATATTTAGATTGAGTTCTTCTCTCAAACAAAAAAATGTCTGTTCCACCTTGTGATGTTATGTGGTAATACAGAAAGTGCTCCACTGTGTTTTTAAGCTCCATAGACCTTCATTAGAATCATTTGGATCATTTCAGATCTGGAATTGGTAATCCGTACTGAACAAAAGGTAAAAGGTCGTTATTAAGTTGAAAACTGTCGCTTCATGACATCACAAGGTGGAACCGAGCATTTTGAGCTTTGGAGACGTAGACAGACTAATAATAAAGGATTACTCAAACATGTGTGAATGAAACAAAACACAACTCCAGATATGTTTTTGATGAGGTAACAACATTATAATATTGCATCATATAGGACCTTTAATGGACATATAGTATTTTTGTAGTAGTTTCACCTAATCAGCTATTACCATGAAACGTGTGAAGAATCTCTTAGTTGTCCAGGTAGAATCCATGGTGAAGGAGAAATTCAATTTGTCAACTGGACAAAGTTTATTTGGTCAAATATGTTTCACAGCTCATCCAAGCTGCTTCTTCAGTTCTGGTCAGACGCTGGTGGACACTGCCTTATATCTGCCTGCAGGGAGGAGTTAACTACACTGAAACTACTCTGAAACCAAACTTTGTCCAGTTGACAAACTGAATTTCTCCTTTGCCAATACCATGAAAATCCCTTGTCCTATAATGAAATGTGCTTCTCTCACTCTCTCTTTTTCAGAATTGAACAAAAACCGGAGGAAGCTGTTTGAGCCTCCCATCCGGTCCTCGTTCCTGGAGGGAGGGGCGAGTGGACGTCTGTCTCGCCAGTTTCACGACATGGCCAGTGTCAGTGGGCGCTGGTAGACTCTACGCCAACATGAACCGTCCAGTAGGAAGACCAGGACCCACAGTGCCTCTACCGTCCAAGCTCTAACTCCCGCCCACCAGCTGTTTACCCAAGGGCTCTTAGTATTGTTACCATATAGTATAATTATAAAACAAGCCATAGCTTTAAATGAAGTGCCAACACAGAAGGGATGTCTCATGTTTTTTTTTTGTTTGTTTGTTTCCTTTAATAATAGTGAAAAGGGATGTGTCCAGTATTTGTATAGGACAACAGGCAGGTTGGTTAGTACAATCCTTTTAACACTGATGCTACCTGTATCAGTGGCATGCACTTTAAATATACTAGAGATTTGCCTGTGAAAGCCCTATGCCTTATTGAAGTTACTGAGAATGTGTTTTATATTAAATGAAAAAGCACAGATGCATTTTGTACTAAGCCAAATATAAGCACTTAGCCAATTAAATGAATGCACCACCAAAAGAAGTGCCAAACATCGAGTGATGTCATCAACTTGAGCTAAAGCGAGGCCAGATCCTTATAATGGCTGTAGACCTTTGGCTGCTCTCTCTGTTTTGACTGCTCTGAGGTCAGTGACTGTGTTTCTAGACAAAGCAAATCAAATATTTTGTACTCGTTATACATTATGATTTTATTTTGAGTTGTGTATTACCGTCTTAAGGGAATGGGTTGGGATACTTAATGATAATCAGTTTACATTTGTATTTTATGAATGAGTTTGTATGATTTTGTAATTAGTATCTTTACTTTCTCCTTTGTCTGTGGAGCCTTAGTGCGGCATCTGTCTGCTTGTGTCAACAGGCTCCTCTGCGTTCATACTAATCCACCCTCTGTTTCATCTTTTATATTAGTTTTGTTTTGGAGTCTCACAGCCCTCTTTGTAAAGGTGTTAATTTGTCTGTCCTTTTGAACCAAGACCTCATAGAAGAGCATCATTATTGCACGATCACGTGCAAATGTACAGTTTTTCAGCAGGGAAACTTTCTTTAATATGACCATCCAACCATCAATCAACCAGTTTATTCCAAACGAGCTGCCTTTTATATACAAACCTTAATCAAGACAATGGACATTTGTACAAATCAGGAGCATTTAATCTGATGTCTTTTCCTACAAACCACTGCAGCAGTGTTCTATAACAGTGTTATTCTGGATGTTAAGGGTCCGCTGTGTTAACTGTGTGTGATGTTCTGCAGTTTTAGCCAAAACCTGAAGATATTTTTCAAGTTTTATCAAGTGCAATGGGGCGTTTCTTATTGTTACCTTTTATTCTTTTTGTGTTTTATGTTTGTGGTACAATAGGATAAATAATGAACCTAATGAAGGAATTGACATTATCTTTGCCCTAATCACTTCCCTTTAACCACTCTGCCCTCCTGTCTCTGATTGAGCCATTGTCTTGTGCTTGTAAAGTATAAGTATTTGTGGGACATGGTGGCTCGGCCCACCAGACTGCAGTACCAGAGGATGGTACTACAAACTGTTGTGACTCGTGTTCCTGCCTCGCAGACATTTGTTTTTAGCTTCTCTTGTTCAATTGCTCTGAGGGCAGTAGAGGTTCTGTCGTATCAAGTGAATGTTCTTATAGATATAGAAGCATGTTATTATAGATTTATCAATCAAGGGACTCCGTAAGTCATTTGTTTACTGCCAGCCTGCCTATTCATTGACCTTGGTCAACTTCACAATAAGGTTTTTTGATTTGATCATTTTATGGTATTTTATAAAGGGACCTTTTCCAACAGTCAAAGGTACTCCAAGACAAATGTAAACCACTACAGTATATCTCTTTTGTCCGACCCTTATACTTGCAGGGTTTGTGTGGGTCCTATTCTATGCATCGTTCAGAGGAGTGTGTAAACCAAAGCTCTGTTCACTGTGGCATCTGTTGATGCTCTTGTTACTGACTGTAATTGAATTGCAGATTAAAAAAAAATAAGACTGTCAAATAGACAAAAATAATGTTTGTTCCAGCACTCGAATGCTAATATGAAGGTAATAAATGTATACAAATATATGTCTGGAGTTTGTGTTGGATGCACATTGTACAAACATTTACATGATCAGAGCATACTGAGCAAATCCAAATCCATCTAAAACACAGATGTCTCTTCTCCCTATTGCACTAGTGTCCATAAGTCTTGGACTTATGAATAGCGTCTTAAGACAGAATGATAATATCATACAATGTACATTTACTATACAGTGCAATACTACAATGATTGTTTCTATGTGACCATTTTAGCAGTTTTATTTTAAGCCTCTAGAGGGCAGTGTCAGCAGATGAAATGACTCACCTAAGTATAAAAGTATGAAAGACTAAACTGTTGAACCAAACCTTCAATTATGCAAGCAAATTATTTCTGAGACACGGTAAATGCGCATTTTAAGTTGTAATTTTTAAGAAGATAATATAGAACAATGTAAAGAAAGAAAGCATTAAACATAAAATAGACAAAACATTCTGTAACAACCAGGTATTTTATATCAAAATGCAGAATCGTGTTTGTTCCACGGAGCATGTTTTGGTGTAAGTTCCTCATGTTTTCTCTTTATTTAAATGATGTTTTTCGTGTTTGTGGCAACAGCATAATGAGTCAGGCAGTTAGGCTGAGACCCAAATGAAACAGGTGGAGCCGCTGACCTGTGTTCCTCCTTCTGTTTTATTCTTCTCCACAGGAGCGGAGGATTTCAGAGAAGCAGGCGCGGGTTAAACAGAGGTGTGTGTCTGCGGGGGGAGGCCGGGGCAGGAGGCACAGAGGCTCTGCGTGTTTGTAATATAACCTTTTTATTCGCATTATCTAAAGACAAATGTATAGGCTAAGTTTCTATGCTAAACAAATTGGAAACATTGCTCCAGATAAATGCACCAGTAGCAGTAGGGCTGCCATTATTGATCTACTGGTATAGCCCTCTTGTTCTGTTTGCAGTATTGGGAAGTCGTTGGGAAATATTCTGAATTCGTATTCTGAATTCTCATTTTGAGTAAGTGTATTCTGGTACAGTTACTATTTCATTTGGTGGTATTCACAATACATTTATTTTCCTAAAAATCAAAAGAATACATGGCGGTACTTTACCACTCAATTTAGGCTTCAAACTGTACAGAATGGCAGAAAAATATAAAACACAGTTCTAGTGGTGTGGGCATGTGTTATTTTTCCTTCTCTGATCAGTGTAAAATGCAAACGGTGAAACAAATATTAAAGTTGTTTTTAATCCTGTGTTGCATCTTTACACTTTATATAATTTATATGCAACTCCATTTGAAAGTTTTCAGAATAGAGTACTCTGATTGGACCATGTATTGGAATACATTAAAAATACATTTTAATGCAGGTACTCAAAATATTGTGCTATATTTACTAAACGCTAAAGTATTCTTCCTATCACTGTCTATTTGAGATTTCAGATTCTTTTCGCATGATGACCCCATTAATGCATTTATAGATAACATTATTGCATGTATTATTGACCACACATGTTACTGGTGCTATTATATGCACATAGTATCATTACATCATCGATAAAAGCAGACAAGACTTAACAATTAAAGGCCTATTATTATTTTAGCTTCTGATTGTAACTGTGCAACTCAATTCCACTAAGAAGCACTTTTGGCCTAATCATCTTTATCTAATCTAATCTAATCTAATACCACCCAATTAATTTTTTCAAGCAATTTATTATTACGCACAAATCATATCATGCATGAGTGGACTGTAAAAAGTCCACTGTGTGACTTTAGAGCAGTAATGAGATGACTAGTTAAACCCGTGCGTGGGACTGGGTGGGAGACCATTTGTGAAGATCCAATATCATGCTTCATTTAGCTCCATGTTGATAAATGTGTCCTTTATAGAAATCTAATAAAGTCAACACCGGGCTCTGTGCAGACTCATGGTGACCTTTAGGATCCATATTGACATGTTGTGACCTCAGGCTGTTTGGAGAGAGGGCCGAGATGATGAAATACATTTGCTCTCTCAGCCATGTAGTAGCTGGCTCAGTTTAAGGTACACACCTATGATCCTGCTATTTTTCCATCTGTCACAGCATATTAGACAGGAGGGGGCATGTATTTACGCTTCAGTGCAAAATACATAAAGTACAGAAAAGGCTGTGTTCACGTGATATCAGAATATTCAAGAAAGACTTGAATGGTGAGATTTCTATTGTGTTTAGCTGTCAGGTTGCAGATTTTCTGACCTGGTTTATGGTTCATATCTTTGTAATTACTGGAACTATCCACATAAAACAAAAACTGGCACAAAGTTCAATGTCTCCTTGGTGAGCCTGTTTTTTCACAATTGCTGCAAAAAGTAGAACCATTATCCAACCTCCAAGACATGTATGGATTTTAAGCCATTGGTTTTTGCCCGATGAAGGCCTAGTGCCGAAACATTGCACGGTTTGTCCTAATAAATCTCACAATTTGCAAGTAAGACAGTGTGCAGGATTTTTCTCCATGTTCTTGGGCTGCTCCTTCTCCTCCAACGCACCCATTTCAAGCAATTGATGTGCGAAGTTCTAATTTTTTGGGATTTTAAGCCATAAAAATAATTTCCGGTTTGTGGAGCCAGTTCCTAACAAATAATGGTAAGGTTCAACATTTGTTTCTTAAAATATCCACAGTAAATACAGTAACTACAGAGGATTTACCCTCCATCTGAAATTATTACATCATCATGAATTTCTTTTGGGATAAATTAATGCATTTCCTTTGGGATAAATAAAGTACTATCTGTCTATCTATCTATTTATCTATCTATTCAAATTCTATAAGATGAACACAACCTATATTGCAGTGGAAGTATAAAAGTACATTACAAGGTAGAGAGGAGCTTGTACAGGGGTGGGGGGTATGTGTTTATGTGTGATCCTGTGATCCTAACGCAGGGCGACTGTAGCTTCAGGGGAGAAGAGGAATGGAGATGACCAAAATCGGTCATCCTTGTCAATTTGACCAGGACTGCAGATAAACAAATGACACTGAGGAGGGGAAAGAGAGAGCTATGAAAGAACAAAGGAAGGAGTCAAGGAGTACAGTTCCAAATGTAATGTAATGCGGTGTATCATAAATGAATCCTTGGCTAATATGTTTTTACCCTGCATGATTTCTACTTCACTTTGTTTTGGAGAATGGTGGATAAATTGGCAGTCGTTTTGTTTTGAGTGTCTTAAGTGTGGACTGGCCACCATCAACAGTAACAGCTTTTTTTTTTTTTTTTTTTTTAACGACAACAGAATATAACATTTAACAAAATACAATAATGAACATAAAAACAAAACACTCATTCTCCATTTCCCCCTGACCACACACACCGAAACAAATTTAGTTAAACAAAACAAAACTAATGTGGTATGCAGCATAAACACACTGCTAGGCCCCCTTACATTGATATAATTTGGCCAATTTAAAATAACGGTAACAGTTTTACCAACACAAGCTATAACTACTATTTTAAGCAGTTCTTGAAGTACTTTAAAAGCCACTTCTCAAGATTTTATTGTCACTGTCACAAAAACAACTAATGTCAAAAGCAAACGTCAAACAAAATGTAAAAAAAAAACCAACAAAATTGGTGCAAAACTGGTGCAAGACCCCAATAACCCCAGTGTAAACCTGACTAATACTTGTAATACACTACAGCAAAATCCAGTCTAATTCTTAATTTATGAACGTAATAATAAGAGATTAACCATAATATAATAACGTACAATCTTGCAGCTTGTTTACACAAAGGATTCCAACATCTGAAACACACAAATTCCAAAAAAGGCAGTTTCTTGGCAGACGTAACAATTAGCGCGTTGGTAATGAAACGCCTCAGTCAGCCTGTGTTTTGCCTAATGGAATGATTGCCTGTAGACTCCTGGTGAGCTCATTCCCCAGTTTACAGTATCAGAGATGTAACATTTAAACACATGCTTTGTTAATCTGAGGATGGCAGTGCAAAGCTTTTTACTCATCCAGGCATTTCAGACAGCAGGGAGCCATTTGGCAAGTCATGCACACTGGCTCAATGTACTGAACTCTGCGTATAGCATTCTTCCCCCAGAAACACTAATTAGAGGAAGCGTTTTTTTAGAGGTTATGCTGTACGCTAAGTAAACACAGCCATGCAAAATGTACATCTAAACATAGTCTATGCAGATTTTAGATTGGCCTGTCCGCTTATGACTAATCTTTGGTTCAAGCATTTTCGCAAGTATTCTGTAATCACCAGCTGCACTAATATAGATTTTTTATAGGAATGTAACAGTAACCGAAATATCATGCTATCGTATCTTCAAAGTTCTCACAATAATATCGTGGACCATCACAGACCATGATTCTTTGCTCCACTTCAGTGCAGACTACAAGAAGAAATAACAGTTCTAAGCACTTTTAAGTCTTAGGTCTTTGGATTAAGTCTTGTCAAGCTATTTTAAGAGGAAAAAATAGTATATTAACAGATCTGTTAGCCTCCACAAATATCACAATAAATACCATACCATAAGATGTATATTGATTTGGATATTGTTACATTCCTAATCGTGACCCTCCCCAACATATTGTGATTTTTCCCACAATATTGCAATAAATATCGTACCGTGAGGTTCATACCATGACGATATCGTATCGTGAGACTTGGATATCGTTGCACCCCCATTTTTTTTTTATCTTAATAAAATATATATGGCTAAGCTACATATAAAACAAAAATGTAGCCTTAAATCAAATTAAAGGTATGCTATGTAACTTTTCTGGTAGAGGGCCTGCCAGTTGCTTGTCTCCATGGAGATGTTATTGCTTTGCATGGACTGTTCCAAAGTATGGCATTAAATTTATCAATCTCCTTAGAGTCAATCAAGAGACACCACCTGACTAACAGGTGAGATCTGTGAAGCGGTGACTCCACTTACAGTAAGAATGCATGCTTTTAAAGGTATTTTTAGAGCAACAAAAACACTCATAATTGAATAAATGCATCTCATATAAGTTTAATTTAATTTACTTTACATTACATATCAGGCAAAGCAATATCATCACATGGTGTCGGATACCCAATCTGAAAAGTTACGCAGTGCACTTTTAAGAGCCAGTCACCTAAAATTGTCAAAGATCAGCTTGGGGCATTGCCTGTAGACCTTTTCTCTGTCAGTGAAAGCATGTGGGTGGAAGTTCAGATTTTGTTGGTATGAATTAGATCAGTTCTGTGTTAAACAGTACTAGTTAAAAGTCTGTCTTGTTTATGTTCATGACATGAGGACTGAAAAAGATATTTGTTTGCTGTAAAGGTGCACTGTGTAGCTTTTTGGGAACAGCTTGTCTTCATGGATAATAATAATATTACTTAGCCAAGAATGTTCCAAAGTATGGCGTCTATTTTAACTACCTTAACTTAACTTAACTTATTAAACTATCTTGCGTTTATTCAGTTCCAGGTGTTTATAGTGATCAAAAATTACTTATTGTGAACAAGGTTTCCTCGCCACAAACTTGACCTCTAACATGGAATGGCATCACCTGCTTGTCTCCATGGACATATACAAGTTTAATGTGGATCATTTCTGGCAAAAAAGAATCTCTACTGTCCTCTCCATGTCAAGCAGTTTGCAGACTCTTCTTTAAAAAAGTTACATAATGCATCTTTAAAATCACTGTCCTTATTTATTCTTGATTTAATCTTTTAACCTTTTAACTTTTTTATTTTAGGTTGATTCCAAGTTACATATTAGGGAATATAGAGACATGTTTTCTGTATTTCTGTATACAGCACCCACACTGAAATCATAATGTTATATCTGAAAGAAGTGCAATCTTGTAACTTTGATTTGTTATATGCATAAACTGAATGGGCTCTTGTCCTGGAGATGTCTGCTGCTGACCTTCACTGTAATGACTTGTATTTCCCCGGCGTGGAATGTGATCCATGTCTATCTAAGAGGCCACAGTTCAGTTCACTCCAGTGTGCATCAGCTAATGCGTGTGCCACTTCTGAATGCCATGACGATTATAAGATTACCAGTGGTTTAATTCTCTTGGAGGTCACAATCTTATTCTCAAACCAACAAAAGGCTTGCAAGAAATTCATTCAAATGCATGCTATGGTGACAGGTGAAAGAATTTTTAAGAAAGAACTAATGAAATTGTGAGCTTTGGAGATGTAGACAGACTAATAATAAAGGATTACTCAAACATGCGCGAATGAAACAAAACACAACTCCAGGTATGTTTTTGAGGAGGTAACAACATTTTAAAGTGGTTTAAAGCTTACAAGAGTCAGTTTTGTGTAATGTAGGACCTTTAAATTGTTAATTCTGCTTGGATGTAGTGTAGAGTTTACTGAGATGTGTGGGTAAATGGTCTTCTTTATCTTCTTTAGACGGCCAAAGTGCTGTCAGATTCAGTTTCAGTTTGAGATATGGGCATCTATTAAAAATGGATACCCAGAACCAAATCAATACAAAACTAATAGTAAAACTAGAACCACGTTTCAACAATTATCAAAAGTGGAAATTCTACATAAACAAAACAACAACAGTTTCCTTTGCTGAAAAGTTTTGCAATGAAACCAGCTTAAATTTTCACTGTTGAGACAAAAAAGGCACTACATATGATATTCACCTTGTTTGTTTGGACTAATTTCTCTAGGGCCTCTTTCTTGCCTTTGCTTAGTTTGTTATTTGAGAAACATCATTTGAAAATTTGCACAACAATGTAATGGAAAATTTAAATTCTTGAGCTGTTTATCTAGTATAGTTGTAGCGGTTTTCACACACTATGAGTGACTCAGGGGTCCCAAGGGCGCAGCTGCACAAGCCTTTGTCCTCTGAATACATAAACAGCGTTGTCCCTTCTCCTCAGGGCGCCGCGGAGCAAAACCGCAACAAATAAAAAGTGACATCTCCACCTCTTCAACACTCCCTTTAAAGAGAGAAGGAGAGAGAGGATCGCAATGCTGTGGGGAGTAATGTTCAAAATGGACTTAGGCCTGGGGTATTCTTGACCTATAATATTAAGTCACTGACTGTAGGCTCCTGATAAAGAAGGGAGAGTCCGGAGATAATGAGACGCACACGCCAAGGCCACGCCGCGTTTAACTGTGGGGTGGATTGATAGGGTCTATGAGCCATTAAAACCAATCTTCTCTGGAACACAAAGGCAATGTCTGTGCTAGTATTCATTCATTACGACGTGACAGCCCCACGCTCGTTATACGGCCATCCACTTGCACCTGCGTTCCCCGCGCCATAGGGGCTGCACCTCACCAAATAAGGACATAAGAGAGAACCACCACGGGATGACGTTGGATGGGAGAAAAGACAGTGAAATTAGGCATGAACGTACAGTAGTCACAAACCTGGGGGGATCGCTAGTTAGTTAATCTGGTTACATAAGAATACTCGGTAAGAGAGAGAAGAAGCCACTGAATTTGCGCGCTAATCCTCTCTGCTATTCTACCCTGCAGAGAATACGCACTTGTGGCTCTGTGTCAGCGAGTGCGCACACTTTACAGCGAAATACAGGCTCTCTGTATAGTTCACTGTTCACTTTAAACAATGCAATTAAATGCTTCGGTAGAGCTTAGATTTCTCCTAGAATATCTGGCACAGTGACGAGTCCGTGCTGACGCGCCACTCACCGCACCACCCCGGACGGACGCAGACAGGAGGACGAGAGCTGCGCGCGACACACACAGAGCTCTGGGCAGCGCCTCCACTCTCCCCTCCGCTCCCTCTCTCGCTCCGTGGAGACACCAGGCACTCTGTCCATCCCGACCCCAGAGGACGTTGTGCTTAAAAAGAAGACATTTACGGCTTGTCTTTCCCCCGCAGAGATGGAGGTCCCCGGTTTGGCGCACAACCTGAGCAGCCCGTTAAGTCCGTGCGAGGGCATGATCAAGGACCTAAGCCTGGATTCCATACAGCTCTGCGAACGAGACGGTAAGACGCACATATAGTGTTTTTCACCTTATGTACCGTTCCAATGCGGTGTTCACGTGTTTGGCTAGCCGCATTAGGCCGCTTTGTCAGTGTGGGGCTGCAGTCTAGAGGCTGTCATTGGCTTTAGCTGCACGTTGCACCCGTATTGTGTGCGCTTAATAGAAATAAGGGCTCGAGTGTTGCTGGTTCAGCGTGGGGACAGGAATGTAAAATGACCAGGGTGGACCATGGCATTGCCCATTCATCACATAAGCAGCTTTTCCATACAAAGTGAGCAGGCGTATGTATAGAGATAACTGGGTTTACATTTCAGCACCAGAGACGTGGACAGAGACCATGCTTTAACGCAGGTCAGTCAATGTGCTTCTTATATACTTGCATTTGCCATGAGAAACATTAACACTGGCATGATTTTAAAAAAGAAAGGAAGAAAAATAAAGGTATAGACGCCAAACTGACATCTTATCAACCCAGTACTCAAACTTTGCCCTCTTAAACCCTGTCCTAACTCCACACCAACATCTAAGCAGTAGTTATATAAAATGTCATTGAAGAGTCAAGGGAGATCTGTGCATATTCATCACAGTTTTCACGCTCTGGGGAGAAAGAAAAAAGGCGAGTCATGGTGAAGGATAGGAACATGGCTGCAGGATCCACATGTACCAGGCAGCCTCACACACCCATCACTGCAATTACATGCTCCCCATTATTCCCCATCTGAGAGCAGGATCTTAATTAGGAGCCCCACTTTAATTTATTCTCTGATATGGGCCTGTCACGCCTGTCTGGGTGTAATGGACTGGCCGTTGTTATTGTGGCGGTGCTTCGGGCCGGTTACGACTGGTGTTGGTCAGCCAGCCTTGACTCAATGGTGAGGTTTCATCAAGCGGCCAACAGTGTGGTCATTGTGTCACAGGCCTTTTTGAGAGGAGCTGTGATGCAATACGCGTGGATAAGTTGCTATTAGGACTGCTAAATGTAAAATGAAAGATGAAATGCATGCAATATTTCAGTTAATTATCCTGAAGTTCTTGTAAGTTCATTTAAATTAATTGCGCATTAAGTGATAGTTCTGGTGAATTGCCTGCCACCTGCTTGTTTCCATAGAAATGTTATTGCGTGCTTTGTCCAAATGTTCCACAGTAGGGTATTAGATTAAAAGATTTTTTTTTTAAATCTGCATTTATTCAACTACAGGTGAGTTCCCTGCATTCTCACTCTGAACAAAGCTGCCACTCCATAAATCTGACATGTAACTTTCCTGATGGCACCACCTGCTTTTCTCCATGGCGATAGGTATGCCATACTGTATAACATCATAGACAAAGATATAGCATTTTCATGGAGATATTAAGACAAGCAGATAGATCTCTATGTTTTGAAATGCATAGAATTTTTCTATTAGTTTGTATTAGCGTTTTACTTTTTTTTTTTTTTTTTTAATGCACTCTCTTTACCCACTTTTTAAACACAAATCAACACACAATACAATTTGAATTTCTTCCAAAATCATTCTTCGAACAGATGATGTCTTCAGTTCAGCTCTATGTCAGGGTCACAGTGCTGTCCTTTCAGTGACAACAGGCAGTTTGTGTTTGTGCAGCGGTCACCACAGACACTACAGTGTAAACAGGACTGTGTGTGTCCTCCAGCCGCCCACATGTTCTGTTTACAGAGAAACAGCCAAGTGTCCACCTCCTGCTCCACTCCTTTACCAGCCTCTAATTGGTGCTCATTATGTCAATGCAAGTAGATTAAAGCTTTGGTAAGGGGCTCCTTCCATACGTGGGTTGATGTTTAATGAAAAATGTCTGCCAGTTAAAGATCCTATATTACACAAAATTGACTCTTGTGAGCTTTAAGTCATGTTAAAATGTTGTTACCTCCTCAAAAACATACTTGAAGTTGTGTTTTGTTTCTTTTACACATGTTAGTAACCCATTAATATTAGTCTGTCTACATCTACAAAGCTCAAAATGTTCTGTTCCACTTGTATTATTTTTGTAGTGTAGAGTCAGCTACCTGCTACTGGTCTGAATGGAATATTCCACAGTATGGCATTATACTATCATGCATTTATTTATTCAATTACTGGTGTTTGAATTCATTGTACACAGCGCACTGAGCGCGGTCGTCTCTCCACAGATCTGACAATTCATTTGCCTTGGTGTTGCTCCTGTTCATCTCCATGTAAACAGATGCTTTTTTATGAAACATTTCTATGGAGACAAGCAGAAATGTTACATAGTGCACCTTTAAGAGACAAAACAAAATGCATATGTACAGCTGTGTGGCAAATACAACTGATAAATATTATACCAACTTTAAGTTTACTTCAAAAATATAAATTTAAAATACAGAACAAGCAACTACATTCAGGTCCTAATGTATAGTCTGAATACAGTCTAACCACACAGGGTGACATGCTGACATACTCTTTGTACCAGTTCTGGCCTGGATAAATTTATGTATCTAAATCAGCAGTGATATTCTGTCAAATCTACGCCATATTGAAATCACAACACAAAGGAATCATAGGTATCATTTGTACAACCTTTAAGATTCAATTTCAAATGCTTTTGGCAAGATCAGTTCAAAATTTTTGTCATACATACTTCCTTCTTTCTTCCTAGTTCCCACTGTAACTTTTGTATGTTTGTAATAAAGTCAAAAAGTCCCCAATTTAAACCAAAAATAAATCTTGCCTCACTTTTGGACCCAAGGGCAAATTTTCACGGTCATACATTTACAATTTGTCAAGTGCAGCCAAAGTATCTAATCGTAAATCTTTATCACATAATCTTAAGAGCTGTTTTTGACTTTGACCTTCCAGAACGTTTGATACCGCAATGTTGTATCACAAAAAGGAGAAAAGCATATTTGGCTCACATTACATTTCATCTGAGCCCCACCCTTTAGCTCAAAGACTGTGCACTGCAAGCTTCTTGGATAGACTCCTCCTTTATCTAGTCCAGTCTTATGTTTGCACACCTCGTATTCATTTCACATGGCTTTCTAAATTTATCTTCAAATGCATAAATATTTAATGGGCAGTGTGAGAGAGGCTTATGAGCTGGTGCTGAGGCTGCAAATGGAAAAGAAGGATTTTTCTGTGGGAAAGAGAGATTGTGTGAAGGGGCCAGATGCACAAAGGAGAAAAAAGAGAACATGATGACAGTTTAACAGGTCACCAAAATCAGAAGAGCAAATCGTTTTCTGGAGGGAGAGACTGGAGTGTGCAAAGGGTTTTTAAATCTGTATGGTTACCATATTTAAATATATTAAAGGGCCAATATTACGCTATTTTCTGATCTATGTTTTAATGTTGTTTTCTCATCACAAACATAGCCGGAGTTGTGTTTTGTTTCATTCACACATGTCACACAAATCCTACATGTTTAGGCTGTGTTCTTCTCTCAAACAGAAAACACTCTGTTTCACCTTGTGATATCATGTGTAATACGGGAAGTGCTTCACTGTGTTTTAAACTCCATACACCTTCCCTATAATCATTTGGATGGTTTCAGCCCTACTCAACAAAGGTAAAAGTTGTTAAGTTGAAAACAACCACTACATGTAATGTAATGAAACACAACACAACTCCAGGTATGTCTTTCAGGAGGTAACAACATTCGAACGTGGTGAAAATCTCATATAAATCTTACAAACTCGGTGTTTTGCTTTAATTATCCTAAACCTGAATGCTAGATCTGATTTGTCTGCTCTTTTGTCATGAATAAAACCTACAGTGATCCTTAGTGTAACAGTATAAACAGGCTGTTGGTTTTGACCTTGCTGATGTAATGAAGCTGGTGTGATGGATGAGTGGCATTTACCCGGAGAACAGTGTCTTCCGTGGCTGCTCCCTCTCCACAGCGGAAACTCCAGAGCTCTAATGTTGCCAGGTCCCATCACACAATTCCTCCGTCAGCCGGAGGAAATACGCTCCCTCTGCGTGTTGTGCTTTTCAATTAACTCATGACAAAAGCTTTGTTTCAGCGTTCAAAAGACCTGCTCGGAATTAGGGACAACTTAATAAAAACATTCATTCACTTGCTTCCAACATCTGCCAGTAAGTAAGTGACAATTCTGTTACAGCTATTCATGGGGTTAAAAATGATGAAAAGTTAAGGACAGTTGTCTGTTTAACATTTTAAAACAATATTATTATACCTTTTGATTAGGAAAGTCCTCAACATGTTGCATATAACAGGAAGCTGAAAACCATGGCAATTATTTGATTAATCAATATGAAATACGAAATACAAAAAAGCAAAGCTAAATGTTAAGTTTGTGTTATTAGGTTCTTTGTTCAGACCAAGAGTTTGTTTTCATACCGGACAGTTTCGACTGCTCTCTAGCACTCTTCCTCAGAGTGGTCACGTGTCTGGTCAGCTGATTTATACAGGTCTTGGCGCTGTCTTCCTACGGGTGGAGGCAGGACGACAGCGCCATCTGCAGTCCGACTTCCTCAGGACAGTATCCCAGGTGTGTGAGAGTATAAAGGCTCCCTCGTCCCAGTTTATAGAAAAAAAGAAAAAAACATAATAACATAAATTCTTAGAAGACCAAATGAATCTCATTTGTCTAAATGTTAAGTGTTTTTATTTGTCTATTTATGTCTCATTAACTTCATTTAACTTCATTAACTCAGAAAATTAGATTTCATAGAGCAATTCGCATAATCTGTTATACAATGTAAATTAAAGAAAATACTAAATTTCACTATTGATTGGTCATGGAGTCAATAATCGTGAATAGTCATAAAGTTGTCATTCTTCTAAAATGTGTCTAAAATATAAAATCAGATTGCCCCATTTGTAAGAATAAAGGACTTTTATTTTTGTAACCAATGTGCCTCTGACATTTTATTCAAGCCTTGTGTGAATACATTGTGCTACAACAGTAAGAGGATGTTCTTGTACATAAATATTACTAGTTTGTCCTGGAAAAGGACCTGGTTCTACTCTTTAAAGGAGTCAAGGAGCCACTGATGCACT